TATTAATATTGAGATACAGGTGCATGTACCACTTAGGATATTTCTGTTGGTGGCAAAGTTAATCACATCGTGGTAAGACATCATGCTTTAAGACTGCGATGCTGTGGTGAAATGACAAACCACCACCGCTTCTGTATATGATGTTGCAAATTCAGTGGCAGCATACTTTATAAAATGTGTGAAATAATATTTGCAAAGCTCTCTTCCGACAAAATTGTTTGTTTAGTATTTCCATAACGTGATTGTCTATCATCATTAGTTTATTGTACAGTTCACACTTTTGATCCTCAGTTAGGTGTAGTCTTCTGGAAACTTGGTTAACCTTTTTCTCATAGTGATACTTCCTCTGATAAATACTCTTCTTTCGAAAATGTAATCGTTCGTAATCTTTCAAGTCAAAATAACCCAGAACATGACCATTAGTTAACCCACAAGAATCACAAATATTATAACGTGATTCAACAAAGAAACTATCGCTTTGACAATTCCTACATCTAACTTTTGTATTTTTCCCCCTTCTGATTGGGTATTATTATAACTTCTTAATATTTCTAGATATCGTTCTATCTCTTCTTCTGTATAACACATTTTATTTTTTTATATTTTTATCTTAAAGCTAAAGTTTTTACTTTATCCTCCATCACAGTGCGCTTGTCATCTTCATTACTCAAAGCAATTTTATTGACTTCTTTTGAGTATATATCATGATTTTCACTTCTTATAATTTTCATCGATCTCATTTGCTTCTCACCAGAAAATAAACAATGTACATAGTCTTCAAATTCTATACCCTTTTTTACAACATTTTTCTTTATATCTTTACATTTACGAACTTCTTTACTCTCCTCTATTTTAAAACTATATAGCTTAGGACGCAATCCAACAAAATAAGTAATTTGTTTTCCTGCTACTTCATCTTTAAACATTCCTATTACTTTTGTATTAACTCCTGTCAGTATTCCAGTTGGGTGGTCAGTAGGATAATCTGACGTATCAAACTTGGTTTCTATATCATGGGATATATCTTTATAAAAATCATCTGTATAAATCTTATACATCAACGAGTCGGTATCTGTAAACAATAACTCAGCCCTGTGTTTATATTTCTTTTGAATATAGTTGTAATGAAAATTAAACATTAATGTTTTTGACAGATCTAGAATTGCTTGTCCAACATACACTGGTTTGTTAAAGTATACTTCAGTTTTCTTCATATGTACAGCAATAAGATTACGGTCAAATATTGTTGAGCGGACAAAGTTTGGACGACTTGTTAATTTTGCAGCTTTCTGACGATTATCAACAAGTATTATATTTTGTCGTTTCCTTATGTTTTCTGTTGTTTTTCCAAATACTGAATTATTCATCAGTTTAAAAAAGTCTTTCTCAAAACTGTTTGCTGCTGTTTTCCTAAGTTCAGTATTCTTTCTAATGTAAGGTTCCATCCAACAACTCTGATTAAAAGATATTCCTCTATGAACAGCAGTTATTCTCATTCCCATCTCAAGATATTGTCTCAAATTCCGATAATGTACTACATAGTTTTTCCTCGGTTTAAAATGGCAAATTAGTTTTTCAACACCGTTAACAATCATTTTCTCAGGTGCTAGAGGATAGTCATTATGAGCCGTCCATAAATCAGGGGGGTATTCCAAATCTACTTCAAATATATATCCTTTAACTTTCCTTGGATTTATCATACTATGATTTGCTTTCTCTAGGATGTCCATTACAGTTTCTTTTTTTAAATCTCTCATCCATTTAAATCCATGTGTTGGAAGTGATTGTGACATTGCCCATCCGTAAAGATTATTAGCATCAAGATATTGAATATAAGTAGAAGGTTTATCAGGACCATAATCTTTCATGTATTTGTTATTTGCTTCTGCATATCTTTTTGATATATGTGATATTCCTCCACGAATACCTTTTTCAAACATCATCAACATATCATAATCATACAACAGTTGTAATTCTTGACCTGTTTCTTTGAGACATGCATCCCAGGCTAGCCCAGGAGATGTATAGTAATACGCTGGATCTAGATTGTAATGGTGGAGACAAGTTTTTCTAAAGTTTTCAAATACATCTGCCAACAAGAGAACATCAGACTTTAGGTAAAGATCGTTGTAATCTTTAATTGTTTTACATTTAAAAGTATTCCAGACATTAATAGCGTGTTGATAATCATCATCTGATATACCTTCATCATTTAGTTTTGAATAGAATTCTTCTTTTGGAGGTAGTTGTGTTTCAGATAGTTTTTCCATTGAGGAAACATAATCATAAGGATAAACTCCCTTACGAGTTAATAACTCTATATTTTCCCTGAATATTTCTTTTGTATTATGAAAATCATCTGGTTGTAAATTACCAACAAGATTGGCAAGACTCGTTTGAAGAAACTTAAATGAATCAATAAACCGTATTTCAAAATACAATGAAATAGACTTTCCAGTGCGACTAGATTTATACTCATCAACTTTAATTTTTTTGGAAAAGGAAATATACTTTTCTTCTATCGATGGAATACAGTTTAACTCACCTGGAATAGTAGAAAGTTGTTTTATAAACAAATGAGCATCATACCCTTGAAGATTATGAAATATAACTGGAAGAATCATTGGCTTCCCTCACTGGAGATTGCAACTGTTATGAGCAGCTCCACGGTATTGTCCAGTAAAATGACAATGATCTCTAACTTTATCAGTGAGTAATTCTTTCTTACAAATATGACAAGTTTCCGCTTTATCAAAGGATATTTGTTCGGAGTGTGTTAATTTAATAAGTATTGGACGACGATAAAAATCATTATATATCTTATTAGTTACTTTTGCAAGTTTAGTAACAAATATTTTAGAAATGTCATCAGTACTTTTGGTTTTTGTGTAAATAATTGGTTCAAATTTTATATCAGGAACTATTCCTTTGATATAAAAACAAAATCCTGATGGTTCATGCTTTTGATAATTGTAAGTATATGATTTTTCCGGGTTAGGACTGCAAGTATTCATTGGTTTGGTAAAACATTCAAAATCAGCATAAACTACAAAAGGAACTGGCAACTGTTTGTGGTAATTGTTAAAACATAACATCATGTTTGTTGGTGGCGTACACACAGAAACTGTTTCATTTGATGAACAATATGAGATGTGTTTTTGTAATAATTCATACTTAGTAAAATGAGTAAAACATTTCTTACAAATATAAAATAAACCATTCTTACTTGAAGTTATTTGTGATTTAACCAAACGAGTAAAGCTTTTAATTAGTGAATAATGGGAAACACCTTCTTCTTCATATAAAAACAAGTCGATAGTATTTTGACAGTCTTTCTCCGCCATTTTCAAAGGATAAAACTTTTTGTTATCATTAACTGAAAAAAACCATTTATTCCTGGAAGAGATGGATTCAGTTTTTCAAATCTGGAAATATGTTTTAATTTCATTGGAAAATTAATTCCTTTGGTGTTGAGAGAATTCTCATACTTTTTCAAATCTGTTAGTCTTTCCTCATCTCTTTCCTTAGGATGAAGATACCTAAGTATACACCAAAGAAAGCATTTCTCATCTTTGTTTTCAATATCAACTATTGTTTTTTATTTGATATCCAATCTGGAAGAGGAATGTAAGATGACCCATTCATTGGATTAAACTCAGCAGTATGAATTTCAAGATTAACTACTTCTTTAAAATACCATCCACTTCCGTTTTTTGAAATACCTCTAAATCTTCAATAATTTTTTTAACATTTAAATCAATTAATTTCTTTACGTTTGTTGATTCAAGATTAATATGTGTTCCTGAGTTAAAGTATGCTTTATCTTCCTTTAATCCAACAACCCCCTTATCTTTACTAAGTATTTGTTGTTCCATTAAACATACCAAAACCATATTAAATTTAATATTTCGATGATATGTAAAAAAATTTTTTAAAGTTGCATAAATTTTATTAAAATATTCAACTGGATTAGTATCTCCTTCAATAATATACTTAACAACAAAATTTTCAAAAGCTGATTTTTCTTTTTCAATTCCTTGTTCATGTTCCCTAACAGCTCTCTCAAGAGGTTCACGAAGATAAGAAGGAGTATCGGAGGGGATTTCTTTATTTTTTATACATTCCTCAAAATACTCATCAAATGTTTTTATTTTTTTTGGTTTGGATTTTTTCCTAGGTTTTCTTATATCAATACCTTTTTCTACCTTTTCATTAAGTTTTTGTAATTTTTTAATATCTTTGATTAATTTTGGTTCTTACTTAAATCTTTATAACTTTTTTTTAGTTTTTCTTTTTGATATTCTAAAATTAATTTTAATTCGTCCATAGATAAATTCTTATATTCATTATTATTTATAAAGGGTTGAGAACCCTGAAAACCATCAACTGATTGGTTAGACATTACGTCTTATAATATTATATTTATATTATAAGACTTTAAATCATTAATAATCACTACCACTATCAGAATCAGTCTCATAATCACTACCAAAAATATTATTAATCTCATCACTATCAACCCCATCATCACTATCACTATCACACCAATTAATTTCATACTTATCAAATACCATTTTGAATTTACTATGAAATAACCCAATACATTTAAGAAGATTTTTATAACCTGGAAATTCACGATCTACAAACATATCAAACATTTCTTGATCAAACTCCCATTCATCATCAACATAATAATCACTAAAATCAGCTAAACGTTCCAAAAGTAAAGATGAATAAGAAACATCTTGTTCATCAATCTTTATATTAGTAGTATCATTAAGATAATTCAATTTCTGGGCTTTTTCAAGTCTATTAATATATTTTTTTATAATATCAACTCTATTGTTTTTAAATACTCCCTTATCTGCTTTATCCAGATTATCTAAAAAGAATTTAAAACATGTATCAATACCTTTTATAAAAAGATATTCATTCCTGTACTATATTGCATAATCTGGGATTTTAGTCTTACTTAGAATTGCGTTACAATTATGGTCATACTGCGTTAGAATACCCATCTCATAATTTAGGGTCATTATTTCTGTTTAGAGTTGCGTTACAATTATGATCATACTGCGTCAGGATACCCATTTCCCTTACTACTGGATTTGAAGGGGAAGACATTATTTAAATGTCTTTTTAATGGGGAAAAGCTGTGTGGAGAGTGATACTTACACTTAGCGGTTGGAGTATAGGTGCTGAGGTCATCAGATTTCTTGTCTAAAACACTATTTAGAGTTCACAAATGTAGATCGTGAAAGCTTGGTAAGTACTCGTTATTTTTTAGTGGGAAGACAAGTATTGAGACTGATATTGTACTGACCATGAGAGGATATGAGATTGCAAGAATGATAAGGTAGCTCTAGTAGGAGAGCTTTGTTTACCCTAGTTTTATTCACAGCTTATCGTAGTCCTTAAATATAACCTGTTAACTTGTTGATCTATGGTGGACAACAAAATTGTCTAAGTCTCTTGCACATTTGATTGCGATCGGTTGAGAGTGCTCATTTTCCCTGAGCCATGTGGTGGAATTTTTAGCCCAACAAAAAGCCAAGTAGAGCCTTTCCTTTACCTTCTTGGCATCTGACAGGAATGTTTGTAGACTTGGAGAAAGGTGGTCGTAGAGGCCTACGTTCTCCATCAAGTCGCTCTCTTGAAGGCCAGTGGTTGCAGGGTCTATCGTTGTTACTTCCCTATGGAGCGTGATGACTTGTTCTTGAGTAACTCACCAGGTACATTTGCAAACAATTGGTTTAGGGCGAGCTTCAGCGGCTTGACGTGGTGTTACCCTGTGGGCTAAATCGATGTCATAGGGATGTATTTCTGGACCAATTGCATTAAAAATATTCGGAGCTGTGACGTTTTAGTCATTTTCACGTGGCTTAATGTCCGGAACACCAACAAGTTTGACATTATAATAATAACTGTAATCCTGGGCTTGATCGATTACCCAAGCAAGATTATTAACTCTAGATGATATGATAGCCAAAGATTTCTCCATGGCAGATATCCTATCTTCAGCTTGTTTCTGAAACTTGACAAGGTCGTAATACTCTTTACTCACAAAATCCGGAGAAAATGCAGACTGCAGATTGCAGACTGCAGACTGACATAGTTGGAACTCAGATAAAACAAACAGCAGTTTAAGTGTCAATAAAGTACTCATACAAGTAGTTGCATGCTTATATATTGTGTTGTCTTTCTCATTGTGTACTACCTCGGGGAAGGTTTTTTCCAAGATTCCTGAAACTTTCGAACTCATACCATTGGGCCGTCAAAATGTTTCTTCTCAACAACCTCTTCGGCTGCTTTGTTGGTGCACCAAAATAGACTGTATGAGCTAACATTTGCCTAGAGGGTCTATTAAGAAATGCAAACGTCTATCCCCCAAGAGTCCCAGTCCCCTTTCAGTGCACAGTGAAATAAAATAGCGGATAGATCGTAACTCACTTTCATCAGTGCTCATCTCTTTTCATTTCTAACTTGTTAGTTGCTTTCATGAAAAGTGAATTGTTTTATGCTTGAGAAAACGTGGCTGTAGACATAATGTTTCGCTAAAGCGTGTTTTAAAAAGCACCTTTTCATTTAAAATAAAGTTATTTCCCGAGGATTTACTTGTCCAAAGGACAAGTAAGGTTGATGACCCACTTGTCTGGGGCAAATGGATACGGTTTTGTCGCACCCTGAATGATCGTAAGGGTCCGCACGATAGATTGTCTAACCTTACAACTATAACTGAAACCATGCGAAATTTCTGCTCAACGGTTCTTTAAAACGACGATGAAAAAGCCCAAAAAGACAGAGCCATAGATAAACATATACTCTTTCAAGATTCTGTTTGCCTCTTATCATTGGAAAAATTAAGCTGTGTCTGGTTGTGTATTCTCTCTTACTGTTGCTTCAACCTTGCTATTTAAGCCTAATTCATTTTCGGGGTCTGTGACACTTGATACATCTTTGTAGCGCCCTTCACATTCATTTGTTTTCTAATATGGCCTCCACAACATAGAAATAGCAATTCAAATTCTGTGCTTTTTGATCGGTATGAATGCCACTGCTAAATTATTTTTGACTGCACAAGCAGTGAACGCGCGATTTCCTCTGCATGTGCCAGTATGTGGAGAAGAAAGCATCCCCGATAGATTGACATCAAGATATTCTGAAGTTCAATACGCTTTCGCTGCCAAATGATTTTGTGCATTATTTTTGGCGTTCGCTGTTTTGTCTTGACTAGTCACGACCTTTATTCAAGACAAGGTCAGGTACACAGTATGATGGCTTCACTTCCCATCCATGCTCTGCAGAGACAATCTCACATTTGTCTGCCCTCCCTCCCCCAATCGTTTGTTTGTAATTTCCCAGATTCTTGGAGACAAGTGACCAGACCCAACCAGGGTCCCTCGACGGGTAGGAGAGAGAACCTGAGAAAGAGGTTGAAGTTAGTGTGACCACCGATGAAAAAAAGCACCTGTTGTCCCATCTTCCTTGCGTTTCAGTTTTGGCCCTTGTTCACCATTGACTTTCCAGCCCTTCTCTCGCCTCAAGTTCCCTCTTGAAAATATCAAGCAGCTCATCGAATGGCCAGTCATCATCTCCTATTTCTCCCGTAACAACAAGACGAACTTCCTGAGGCAGTTTGTTCATCAAGATGGATGACAGCAAAACACCATGCGATTCACGTGAAACTTGTAATGACTTTGAGCTTCTCACATTAGATTCCACAGTGTCATGCAGCTGTCGTAAGCTTCTTATATGATAGTGAGATGTGTCAGATTCTAGATTCAACAAAATTTCCATGTGACCATTTTAATTAAAATTATTTGCTTCTTATTGCCAAATCTAACTTTCAAAATGTCTTTTTTTTCCTTATAGTTAGATGCTGCAATACTTAACGCAGAAATGGCCTCTGCTGCTGACTGTTCAAGCAAGGAGTTAAGTATAGTTAGATTCGTTAATGGCAGTTGACTTGAACCGAGGCTTCAAAACAGTTCCAGAAAGAAATCCACTCACTGTGATCGCCGTCGAACTTCTTTAATTCCAGCTTTGGCAATTTAACTTGAGTATTTTTCCACACAGCGAGTTCGACACTGAAGCTAAAGGCCATTTGAACTTCATTTGCTGATGTGTTTTCCGATCCGTTTGCCTCGGCATTTACATTTGAACACACGACCTTCGGCAACAAGGCCAGCTGGACATTCGTGTTTAATTCTTCGAGCAAAATCTGCTCGCTCTATTTCACCTCCGATTGCTTCTTTGGCCACAAGGGCAAGAATATCTGCATCAAGTAGGCGAAGAGTTTGAGTTTCTGCTGTAGGCTGTCCTTTTGTTGTTTTAGTTTGATTTTGTTCCCGCACTTGACAAATGTCTCCTCCTACAAGGACATTATAACAGATGAAATAATACGTTTCACACTGATGAGTTCTGATGAGTTCTTCGGCCATAACTCAACACAACTAGTACGTAGCATCTGCTTTTATCCAGCTAAATGGATGGACCATGTAAACGAATTTGAACTGAACTGTATTTATTTCAGACCCAACACTGAGCCTTGCGGCACGCCAGAGGTAATTGTTAGCCAGTCAGATACTTCCCCTTTTACAACGACTCTTTGCCGACGGTTATTTCATGAGCTCTTTCATTTCGTAATCATCATGTCTATGGAAGAGTGATTGCCTGCTAACTCCAAGGAGGTAGTCGCAATGTACTGTTTTACTGCTTGGCTTAAACGAAGGATGCCAATGTCAAGATGTACAACAAGATAAGCTACCATCTTGCCCACCACTTCAAACAACCTGGAATGGATCCCTGAAATGTAATACAGAGGAAGCTTTCTTTCATCCATGCATCAATTTCGCTTTCTTCCCGAAACTTAACTCTCGGTTGTTTTGAAAATAGCAACGCTTTCATTCCAGATGTCTTCTCTCTGTACTTGCATCCTTGCCACACTACTTAAAGTGAGCTTCTCCTGACTTTGTTGGGGCTGGGCTTCAGTCTCTCGGAGGTGAAGAAGCGGCCATGGAATTCAATTGTGGACGCATTTCTCTCTGCGAAGTGTTCAGTTGTGGATCTGCAATCGCTGTTGTAGTGTTGCTACAATAGGTTCTCATTATGGTCTTTCTAGTTGATACCACCGACTAGGATGTCATCCCTGTTGTTGAGGACCCCTTGGTATTCCAGAAATAATCTTGCTATTTATGTGTCAAAGAGATCCTGGCTATTGATTCCACCAAACGCGAGTTGCTTATATCGCCCCAAAGACTTAAGAATGTCATGGGCTTTCTTGACTCTTTATCTAGTGCAAACTGTTGGTATCCATGGTTCATATCCAAATTGCTAAAGACTTAGCGGTCCTTGAAGGTGGTGATGAAATCTTCTGTAATAGGAGCTTTCACGTCCCTCGTATGTTGCATTGCCTTGTTTAAGACTTGTAAGTCAAGGCTGACATGGTTGTTTGGATTTTTTGGCTTCGGTTGGACTACCATCAGTGAATGCCAGGTTATTGATTCATTTTCCGGAACCTTTTCCATCATATCTTTTTTAAACAAGTTATTCCATTCCTTTCTTTAGGGGTTCCATCAGGTGTTGGGGTCTCTGTGCAATTGGGTGGTCTCATGTTTTAGTGGCAGATGGATCGCAATGCCTCACCCATCACGTTGTGCTTTCCCAATGCCCACAAACTGTCCCTGATATCGATATAAAATCTTGTCCAGTTGCTCGTTTCTGGTGTCTACTTTACTGATGGCCTTGATTTCATGGCAGTTGGGATTCTTTAGTCCCCCCGTTGCATAAAATTTGACCATGCCGAAATCTTCTAGGATTTGGCTACCAAGTAGTGGAAGCGCGTCTCTTTTCCCTTGAATTACTGCAATTGTAGCTTGTGTTTTCCCTGTTTCAGTTTCCAGAATGACAGTGCACTCCCCTAGGACTGGTAGATCTTCGGTCAGGGTTTTCAACTTGGTCTGGGTGTCGTCGAATTTTTAGATTTGGTGCTTTTCTCATTAGTTCATTGAACTGCTATTCGTCCATGACATTTGCATCCCGTGCCCGTGTCTGGCTTGACTTGGACCTTTGCACCATTTCTCGAAATCTTGCAATTTTTTTTCTTGGCATGGTGTTGTGCTGTAGGTTTACATCTATGTGCTGTATAATCCACGCGATATCTTCATCAATAGATATGTCATCTGAATTGCTGTATATACTCTCTGAGTTGTCATCTTGGTGCCCTTGTCGAAGTTGCTGGTGACAGAACTTTCTGGCATTGCGTGATTCGTGTGACGTAACTTTGTGTCATCTTGACGGCTTGACTTTTCTCTGCTCTCTTCCATGTGATTTTTGACACCTGAACTCCGGCACATTTTCGTGTAGGATTTCGTTTTCCACAGTTATAGCATTTGGCTCTGGAGGCCTTGCATTTTCCTTGCTCCTGTTGAGATCCACGTCTTCTACACAGTCCGCTTAAGTCGTGTTTGAGGGTACTAGATTCTGTTGTGAGTTGCAGTTTTTTCTCGTTATCACTTGCTTGGGTAGTGGATTACTCTTCGATGGCTGCCTCGTCTAAATCTGGGTTAATGTCCAGTTCGTGCAAATGGTTTTAACCTGTTTGCAATTGTTAGTCATCGTTTTGATGAGGTGATCACGGCTTCATCTTCGTTCGTGATGACAGCTTCATCTTTGTTCGTTAATTCACACTTCTGTGCAATTTCGGTGAGTTGGGTCTAGTATTTGGCCATGCTTTCATCGATGTCTTGAGAGAGATTTTCAATTTGCAATCAGGCGTTATCCTTATTTTTTCGTGGTAGAAAATTCTTGTCCAGTTTTCTGATGAACCGGAGTAAGACATCTTTGCCCTCTTGAAACGGTAAGTCTGGGAGTGAATTTTCCAAATCAGCAATCTGAGGACCCCCATAGATTATCAACCCGTCCTTCTTTACCCCCAGATCGGTTAGTCTAAAGAATCTGAATTGCTTCTCCATACATTTTTTCCACTTAGTCGAACGTAGTGTGCTGTCGTTTGCGTCCTTTGAGATGGTAAATGGTCTGATGTTTAATTAGGGACTTTAAGCATTGATAGTGAAAAGGAAGGCTACAGCGACCATAAGTTACGAGTTGTTGCACGTAGGTTGGGGAGAGTCTGAGCCACAGCCACAAAATTCGAGTCATTTCGCAACAACTTGTTTACATCTGTAGCTTGTCAAAAAAGAAACACAAGTTTATTTGACGGCCTAAAATGTCACTCAGAGATGCCCCAATGCATTATCACTTGCCTTCAACGATGCTGTGATTTCAGAAGAAGAAGGTGTGCTTCTATGTGATTACAACAAATCTTTAAACTTAGATTTACCATATGATCAATATTCTCCTTTTAAGTTGGACTACATGAAGAATGATGAATGCTTGGCCGAGTTTAGAGCAAGAAAACGTGACATTCCTCTGTTAGAAGAAGCCCTGCAGATCCCTGAAGAGTTCACGCTGAAACAGAGAAGTGTGTTAGGGGGGACGGAGGGCTTATGCACACTCCTAAAGAGGCTAACATGCCCATGTAGGTACAGTAATATGTTGCCACGCTTTGATTGCCCAGTACCGGTGTTGTGCATAATGAAGGATGCAGGAAGGATGCAGCTTCTTGCAAAGAGTTACTGCATTCATGAGCAAGTTTCAATACCTCCTCTTTCTGGGAACATCTCCTTTAGTACAAGGAAGTCTTTTTTCTTGATCCATAGCGGAAGCATCAGAAGAAGTGAATGGAAGCCCATCACTATCAGCAGCTTTTTGGGGTGCTGGCGTCAGTGGTCGTTCAGGTGTTTTGACATTCTCCTGTGTGTCCCAGGGGCACCTGTCTAAATCTGAGTCTCCATCAACTTCCTCAGAGGTTTTGTGCAGGACTTTGTCAGGTCTAAGATAAATACTTCCTCGCATCGAAATGCTTAGAACTCGTGCTGCATTCATTGTAATCCCATAGGCAACTTTTGGGGAATTAATTTAACCATAGCATGCTTTGGCAAATTTGAAATTGGCGCACTTTGAAACCAAAATTGAGAAATTAAACGAGACTTTCCTGTAAGTTGAAGTTTGATTGGAATTCTATCGAGTCACCAAACTGCACCAAGGGATCACATGAGATAGCTAGACGCATGCGCATAATCAGTATTCACAGCTGAATGTGAGTGTCTTACAAACAAACACCCATAAAAGGGGGTAATATCAGAAAGCCAACCGAAGTAAAACCTCAGTAGGACAAAGGGTGGGTAAAACAAAATCAACCATTACTGGTTGTACAAAGGGTGGGCATGTGATCCCTTGGTGCAGTTTGATGACTCGATAGAATTCCAATCAAACTTCAACTTACAGGTAAGTCTCGTTTAATTTCTCAATTCTATCTCGTCATCGGTATGCGTGCAAAACGTCTGCGCATGCGCAAGGTCTCTATTTTCAATAATTAAAATTTGCAAAATCTTCCCCATTTAAATTGAAAAACATTTAGGAATGTTTGATATGTTTAATGGTTTGCAGCCGGTTCTAGTATTAAGCACAACAAAAAATTACTTAAACTAACTTAACTAACTAACTGGTAAAGTCGTCCAGTACAAGGTTTTTCCGTCCTTGTTTTTCCACTTAGCATGCATTGGTCGTTTTCGTTGTTCGCATTGACCGAGCTCAGCGACATGATGACCAAAACAGCAACAATGGCTACGGCGAAGTGCTGCCAGAGCGAGCGTGGACTTTCAAACATGATTTTCGCCTTTGGTGCAAGGAGGAAAGTATGTGGTGCAAAAGAGAGAAACTAAAGCAATTAATAAACTTTGTGTTCGTGAAATTCTAAGCTTATCTTTTGTGTGTGGAGCTTACTTTTTTGAATTTCGCGGCCGGAATCTAGTTTGTTTTGGTATCGCGTATAATTTTGAACGCATGCGCACTGCGTTTTTCACGCGTGTCCTCGTCATCACTGCCCCAGGGATCCCATAGGACTTTAAAGCCAAGACAGTCACATGAAGAAAAAACCCAAAAGCCAACTGCAAGGTGTTTAATGCATAAACAACCCTATACAGTACTAACAGTAACACAAACTGTATCCCATAGAAATAAAGAACGAAAAACGCTTACAAATAATGCTATATGAACACACTGAGTAATAGAAACAACAGGGCCGAAGCACAATAACCCTGAAAAAACCTCTAAGTTGTAGGACCTAATCAACGTTATAGGGAATCACTAAACAGTAGCAACAGGGCAGAGAAGCAAAGGCCCTAGTCCTTGTTCTAATCAGTCTGAAGCACTGCAGAAGCAAAAGTGGAGGTACCGACTGGCTTATTGTAGAAACGGTCAAAACACCTTGAGGACGACCATCCAGCTGTACGCAGGATTTCATCAATGGGGACATTTGAAGCTTTGGCTTTCGACGTAGCTGCAGCTCTTGTACTGTGTGGTTTGAATGCACTGGTGTCAACACCAGACGACTCCATTATCAAACGAATCCATCTAGAAATAGTTTGCCTGGAAACAGGTTTGTAAGGTTTGATGAAGCTAATAAAAAGTTTACTTTCCGCTCCCCTTAGTGGCTGGGTTCGCTTAAGATATTCTGCGAAGCAAGTAGACACACAGAGTGACAAATCAGCAGGATAAGCTTGCAGGAGAACAGATGGAGCTCGGTAACCAGGCCTGCTTTGTTTGACATGTTCCATGAACAAGAATTCAAATCCATTAGTCACTTTTTTCATGCAACCAATGTCAAGCATATGTAAACATTGTCCCCTTTGTGCAGAGACCAGGGCTATCAGCATAACCAGCTTTAGAGTGAGTGATTTTAAATCAAGCTTCTCTGGAGGGTGAAGGGAGGAAAGATAAGTTAGGACAGGCTTTACATCCCAGGTTGACCGGTAGCGTGGAGTTGGCGGAGAATCCTTGTAAACACCTTTCACAAACCTGGAAACAAGTGGGTGACTGCCCAGAGTCATGTTACTCTTGGGTATAGTAACTGCTGATATGGCACTCCTGGCAGTATTGATGGTGGTGTAAGTCAATCCCTTTTCATGGAGGCTAACGAGGAATTCTAAAACAACGGTTACAGGTGGATCATAGGGATCAGTCTTCCATTTACTATAAAAGTCCATCCACTGTTTGATGTATGGTTTGTACTGTTTTTGTGTTCCGTCAGACCAGGACTTGAGGGTGATTGCTGTAGCCTTGCCTGAAACATTTCTCTGCTGGAGACTTTCCCGGAGAGCATGCAAGCCATCAGTCTCAACTGTCGTCGAAGGGGATGTAAGGCATGGTTGTGTGGTTGTGTCAACAGATGAGTCGACTGGGGGAGAAGAACAGGATTGTCTACTAACAGGTGAAGGAGAGGGGTGAACCAAGGTTGTGTCTGCCAAACAGGAACGAGAAGGACACCAGTTGCTTGATCTTGCTCTATTTTCTGTAGGCAGGCTGCTATAACACTAAAAGGGGGGAAAGCATAGAAATAGTACTCCTTCCAACTCATGAAAAATGCATTGACATATTGAGCACCAGGGTCAGGTTTCCATGACACATAACTGGGAACTTTAAAATTAAGTCTGGATGCAAACAGGTCGATTTGAAAAGGGCCCCACAGTTTATCCAAGTCTGAAAAGACGTCCATGTTTAAAGACCATTCAGTTGAATTGTTTATTTTCCTAGATTCAGTGTCAGCATCTACATTGGTAGAGCCGGGTATGTGGCAAGCACTGATCCAGATGTCTCTTTCTATACACCACAGCCAAATTTCTTTAGACAAACTGTCACACTCTGCAGATTTGATACCCCCCATGTTATTAACATATACCACTGTGGTTGTATTGTCAGACTGAATTCTTATGTGTTTGCCATGAACATGGCCAAGAAGTGATTGCAACCCCAGCAGAACTGCTTTCAGTTCCAAGTAGTAATATGAAAAGCTTGTTCCTCTACATTCCAAAGACCACCAGGCATACCAATGTAAAATAACTCAATCAATGCGTATGGTAACTTAAATGCAACTCGAGGTTATTTTGGCGTGAAATAGCATAGACACCCGCCTCTTGTAACGCAGAGACAACAAAAGAGTCAATAAAGACGAAGACGGAAAGCGGAGATTGTTTCTGTATCAGTGTTGTCTCAAGTGTCCAATATAGAGCAAGCGAAAGACAGAGAAAATGGGCAGTAGGCAAACAACAAACTATAAATATTATCGAGAGCTTCTCTTTTAGCCCTGGCTAAATCTGTATATTATTTATTACAGTAATGGTTAGTGTTACATTAGTGGTTGATATTTATTACATTAGTAGTTAGTGTTACAATAGTGGTCGATTATTACATTAGTGGGTGATACAGGGGGTACTATGCCCCATCCCCTCCCCACCCCCTACCATTCGACTCTGTGACCATGAAATATTGAAAGAAATTCAAGGAATCTATTCAATAAGTTTATATCTGCAAACTATTATGCTTTAAAAGCCCTCTTGAATTTCGGAAACAGCTTAGATTGTGATTCCATATTGTCTGCTGTAAACATGCAATCCGTGGTACATAGACGGTACTATAAATCTTTTGTCCTCCTTTTAACTGTATAAAAGGAAATGGGCCTGACTATATTTCTAATTTATTCGAACCTCGTATATTGCGCTACAATTTAAGGAACAGCGATCACAATCTCATTCAACCATCCTATAATAATTATCAGAATTCTTTCACTTACAAGGCTTCGCATTTGTGGAATCAGCTTCCTTCTTACATTAAGAGATCGAATGAGTTGAGTGAATATCGTAAGCATTTAAGATCTCTTAATTTTACAATCTTAAGAGCCAGTTGTAAATGTAACTTTTGCATATCTTATCTTATCTTTTGTATATCTTAGGGTTTTACTGCATTGTATCTTTATTGACCGAGTATTTTTATTGTCATGCGTTTCATACATGAGTCTCTGGCTCGGATGATTGGGGCAACCGGATCCCACATATTGACGTTAATAAATTGATTGATTGACTGATTGATTTCTTGGCATGTAAGTTTACCTTTATCATATATTTGGTGTATTTCATTATATATTGAAGGCACTTATGGCAAGTAGTTTTTTGTGCTGATTATATAAAAACCAGCTCAACAAAAAAACAATGGTTTTTATTGCTGTTACCATACACGTAAAAAAAAAAAGAATACAAAGGGATTTCCACCCCAAAATGGTATCTAGCTTTTCAAATTTAACAAGCTGTCGTAACTTCATGACATGGATCATATATAACTGTGGAACTGTAGAAACAAGCAATCTGAAGTAAACAATAAAGTATGTTTCTTAAATTCTTTCATCTCAACATTAAGCGTCTTATTTTTCTGTAATTTTTTGCATGAGGCCAATCATCAGACTCATCAGTTGATTGCTTTGTTGTTGTTGCTGTTGTTGATTAGCAAGTGCTGGCTCATAAGCCTTGTTTGCTACTTATGCTCCTTCCTTCTCGCTTTCATGTTCTTCTTGTTTCGTTGCCATATCAATGTTTGCCTTTTCCCTCTGAAACTATTATATGATTTCCACCCTTTCTTGACCACCTTTTCTTCTTCGGCTCTGACAAACCCTCACCTCCTCCTTTCCGTTTCATCGTTTCACCCGGCTTTTCGTACGCCTTCTTTTGAACCCCCTCTACCGTCGCTATGTCTTCCTCTGAGTTTTTCTTGTTGTTCAGTAACAATATATCTTTTTTTTCCCGCTGCTTCCCACTTCTCGTTGATCTCCTCGAGGGCTTGGTCCAGCTCTGTTTGCTCTACTTCCACTCCACTATCTCCGTGTTCCGTCTGCATTCTTGCCCGATGCTTGTCCAGTTTTCTTTTGTTAAGTTCTCTGATCAATTACACATGCAGTTAAATCTGACACAAGATCTACATGTGTTCGGTGGATTATTACATTACGTAACACCCTTCCTCCTCTAAGATGAGTGATGACTAAATGAATTAACTAAGTCATATCAAGTGACAAACAAAAACAAAGATAAATGACGAACCTAAGCCTAACTGAAACTTAAAAGCAAAAGAGAAATTGTTCTTAGTCATGTCCTTTTTCTCGGTATCTGTCTCTTGCTCTCAATGTTTGTGAAGCGAGAGTTTGCAGTTCAGTTTCTTATATAGTCCTTCAAGTATGCCAGCTCATGGGCAGCTCTCCTAGGTCTGGTTTCAGTCGGCACTGACACGGATGTCGGGGTGACTGGTTTGTTAGGGCATCCCAACTCCAGTTTCTTGCTACGTGGTCGTGCAGTTGTCATTTGAGTGGAACAAGATTTGTGGTTGTACTAGAGTGGGTAAAGCGTACTGTTCTTCTGACATTTGATCACACGCGTAAAACAAATTTTGGTCGGGGTTATACCAAAACCAAGTGTCTCGTTGCACATCGTACACAAACAAGACGTTTTTGAGGACTTTGGCCATTTCCACCGCCCATCCTGTTCCTCCAAAGCAAAGGTTACTTTCAGGTTGAAAGCATGTGAGCGCCAGCACCATATGTGCTTGTTTCACCACATGGTAATTTCGGTGAATATACTGTAAACTAATAGGGTTCTCTAACTGTTTGTTGAGGCGAGCAGCTACTTGTCTTGTTGTAGGAATAGCTTCAGCTAATTGTTGATGCGTTAAGGGTTGTACGGAGGCTCTTCTGGGGTGACAAGGAGTAATGAGAACTTCGACCTTCAAACCATAGTGTCTTGCTAACTTTTCTGCTTCTAAATCCACACCATTTGCACCACCAGAGATTACAGTAAAAGCCATCTTGTCAAGTGTTTACGAGTAGATCCAAACGTGATTTTTATAGAAGAACAATGACGTCATTGCCCGGACATGTTCAATTCCCAAAGGACTTGATCTCTTTTGTTACATGCATGTCGTAGTAAGAAATAGCTTTCTTGCAAAGGTCTCGATACACTTCTTTGTTAAAGTCCAATAAAAAACGGTTTAAAGTGTCAAAAGTAAGATGGTGATAACAGATGCCTTGAATAATGACTTCTTGCATAAATTTTTTTGTAACCTTGTATGGTGGAAGCATCGATATGCTGTCAGACGTGACCTAGACTGTTGCAGGGTTCCATGGTGAATGATTAACTTGAAGGACCATCTGATATTATATCAGGTCGTTTGATTGCCAAGAACTTGAAAAAGGCAGTCGTTTCTTTGTTCAGTTGATTAAATAGCTCTTTGTTCAAAGCATACAGGTCGTAATTTAATTGGTCAAAAGTAAAGTCACTGTTGCCCAAAGCTTCAATTAGCAATGCACGCATAAATTCAAGTAGGAAGAAAATTGACAGGGTTGAACACGTTGTAGTTAGTTTTCCAATTTAGTAGACGGTGTCATAGCCATGTTGTTCCTCTAGTTTTTGGACCAGCGTTTTGAGTCGAGTCGCTTCTTCTTGTAGTTTCTCTAAGCTTTCCTTGAGATGTTTGATTTGCTGTAGCAATTAGGGGCAATATCCCAAAGATTTACTAGCCACGTTAATCCACTCGATCTCACACATTATGATGAGACACGTTGACGTGTCTGCTTATATGGAAACGTCACAGTCTACTGATTCGTCCAATCGCGTGTATTTTCTTGCAGGGTCTTCTAATTTCTTTTTAAAAAACAATGTGCCAAAACAGGACTCTCCTGATTCAACTCCGGTTGACTCTTATTCCATTCTGTCAAAGTCACGTCCAATATATCAATGAGATGACTTCGCAGGGAATAAAATTGAATCGGGTTACATTCAATTCATGTTTCTTTGTTTTCATAAGGCAGAGTTTTCATGATTGTATTGTTGACATACACACTTTTGGTAAGATTACATGAAAACAACAAAGGACATAGTTTTTCTGTTCCATGAGATTTAGGAAGCGTGGAAGCTTTCTTGTCTTCTGTACTGGTTGTAATTGTTTCCGTGGTCGTGTGAGAAGAGTGTATGACTGGGTACCTGCCCCTCTACTCCATACAACACCAAAAAAGTATTGTCTTTTAAGGGATCCGGGTAGGATGCAGGCAGAGGATACCCCATTTCAAACTTATATTCAGTGATGCATCACCACTTTCAGATTTGGTAAATTGAATGGTCAATGTGTGATAATAAATCAAATGCGTTTTGTTCTGAACTTGCAGATGATGGACGTCCAACCCTGTTCCTTCCGCTGAAAAGTTTGAGTGATTAAACAACCATGCATCCTTTTGATACCATTTTAAAGCCACCGTATATGTTTTGTTTTGGGTTAAGGAGGTCATATCAATCTCCATTTCTCCGTTGTATTCCCCATGAGATACACCATTCACAACTTTCACTCCTCTCAATAAAGAGATACTGAGAGTCGTTGGTTTTTAATAATGAGGTGACACAGGGAGGTCTACTAAAAGATCGTCCAAGTCGAGTCCAAGAACCGTTTTCCATAATTTAAGGTTAGTCATCCAGGGTTTGAACACATTCAAGACTATTTTCGGGGTTTCACAGGGTTGGTTGATTGCTTTGTCAAAGGCTTCATTTAAATTAACAAACCGCCAACAAAAATTTGAGCAAAGATAGACTAACCCATTGGCTACATGAATTGGTTTTGTAAACGTAAATTGTCTGTTCAAACAGGTAGCTGGATCCGCTTTGACGTCCTGTTGATTGTTATTTAGTTCCATGATTAAATTGTTGCCTACATCATGCACATTGCTTGCTGTTTCTTGGATCCATCCCATCTGTTGAGCTAAGAAAAGATTGATGTCAAAATAGGGAAAACGTTTTTGGTTGGTGGGCTTAATATCGGTAAAACGTAATAAGCAGGTTGTGTAATTATCGTCAGCCGTAATGGTCATTCGCCTAACGTCACCAACACCTGCATATGAATAGTGTGTGGGTAATTGCTGGTTTAAATCTTGTTCCATCCAACAAAAGACTTTACCCATAAATTCAAACCCATTGGAGGCATCTTGCAAAACCGCTTTGTTAAGTTTAGACAAAGTGTACTTTGATTTAGTGTTTTTCCATGCTTTGGCATATTGTTGAAATAAAATATTGGTATTATTGCCTTTGTAAAGATGAAGTAAAGAGCGGTTAGAAAAAGGTTTGGTGGGGTGTGTCTCATTATTTGCAGTAGCATGAGACGTCACGACATGGGGAATAGGGTTGGGAGTCCCAGGTAAAAACACACTGGCGACTCCTACTCTCCATTTGCCTGGTAACCATAAGGTTTGAGGTAGACGATACTGAAAATGCGATGGTGAATTTTCTGGAAATTCCTACGTTTTACTGCTCGTAAGGGTGACATAAAACGGGAAGTCATTTGGCTGAGTCATGTGGATTAAAATAGTGTATGACGTAATTCACTCTTTTTATAGTCTGAAAGAACGTGACAAGAGTGACGTCACTGCCCAGACATGTCCAATTCCCTAAGAACTGGAACTGAGTATAAACGAGTGTGTGTTTGATTTGAGCAATCAGTATGTGTAAGTTGCAAGAACCTCCGTTTGAAATGGATATCGTTGTTAGTTCTGATGTAGAGGACATTATGGCTCTTGCTCCAAAACCTAAAGAAAAGAAAACCAAGAAACCAAAAGAGACCACCGGAATGGAGGTCGTTGAATCAGTTCAAGAAGCACCAGAACACCAAGTGATTGTAAATGAGAATGCACAATCAGCATTCGAAAATGTTGCTCTTCCCACCTATGAAGAAATGATGTTTCAAGACTGGTTAGCATGTGGAAACGTAGAGCCCCCACTAGATTTGCCTGCTGATTTGGAGCAGGTGGCTTTGCAAGAGTATCTTTTGGATGCAAGCAAACCACTGCACACACACTTTATTCTTCCCCATCAAGGAAAGCGATCAACCTGCCCTGTGTACTTTGGCAATGCGGACAACAAGCAGACAGTGTTGAACACTATATGCAACGAGATGCATGCCAAAATCCAACAGCAATGGGGAACCTTTGCCTGTCACTTTGGATTGGTCCCTACCCTCAAGCTCAGTCAAACCTCAAGAAATCCAAACAAAGTGTTCCTATGCTGTCCCAAGACCAGAGAGGCAAGGTGTGGTTATTTTCAGTGGATCCACCAGTCACCCAAACCCAACTATGTCCCTAAAGCTGCTACACCATCTGCCCTCAAGAAACGATTGAATGAGATGGTACAAGAAAGATTACAATAACGTCCTGAAGTAGAGGAAGGAGGATTTAATTTGCCTTAAAACAATTTGCTGTAAAATGATTGCATTAAACGTTCACTACGAGATCTCATTAAAACGTGTCTTTATTTGCCTAACACCCCTAGGAATTGCACCATTGCCCCAACATGTCCAATACCCCTGGGATCTCTTTATTGTTATAAAATTTGGCTGATCTCTGTTCAAATCACAATGTTCGCTACCATGGCTTGTGAAACGTTTAACCAAGATCTTGAAATGATTAACGCAGGCTGCTGTAGTCTTGATAGTCCTTTAACCACTCATTTTCTGCTTCCTGCTTTCGAAGGAAACCATCTCTGCCCGAGATTTTATGGAAAGATTGAAGATAAGAAGAAAGTCTGTCATGCCTTAAAAGAAGACATGCACGCAGAAGTACAGACCAAATGGGGAGAATTAAAATGTCATTGCTCACGAATTCCTATCATACGTCTTAGTAAAACTGCCAGAGACGTAAACAAAGTCTTCTTAACCTGTGGAACACCCGCTACAGCTGACACCTGCTGCAAATATTTTCAGTGGATCCACACACCACTGTTTATCGATAAGAGACCCATCCATAATCTCAAGTATGCTACAAACCTGACCCGAACCGAATGGATGCAACAAGCTGAAACCAATGTTGAAAAGTGGAAACAGCAAAATAGATGGTACAAAGTGAAAAAACAAAACGTCCAAACCCAAACAGAATGGGCGGAGGAGAAACAGAAACAAGCATGGTTGAACCAGTTTGCCGAATCAGCCAAAAAGCAAAAAGAACAAAGAAAATCTCAAACAAGTTATCCTTGGAAGAGCACACCACCGCCAAGTGCCTTTCATTTAACGCCTGAGATAGCCAAGGAGCTTAAGAAACGTGAGCACTGGAAAGAGGTCCAAAATATTGCCAATCATGAGTTTTATGCTCGCATCAAAAGGAGAAAGCAAGTTCCTGAGGAAGATAGAAGTTTAGCATCCTATTTGCAGAAGCAAAAATTGAAAGGTGTTATGTTATCACTTGCTGATGAAAAGTATTTAGAAGCTTGTCAACCCAACAAACATGATGAGTGGAAACCTCCCCCAGGTGCAGAAAAATATGAGAAGAACGAAGCAGCCATCGCAAAAGCGGCGTATGTTGACTGGCCTTTTTGTTATTTGCCTGAAAAAGTGTGCCGTTTAGCTTCCTATTGCCGCAACAGAAAGCAGAAGGGATTGCCTTTAACGCCAGTTCAGGAACGTTTTTTTGCTCAATTAGTGAATGTGTATCATGAGCCTGAACTGCCCAAGTGTCATGAACAATTTTTTGAAGGTCTCAAACAAGGAGCTTCCATACAATGTGTCAATTTTTAAATAAAAGCGTTGAAAAGGAATTTTTTTGTGGCTGTTTTCTGGTTAGAGTTAAACCCTAGCCTCTTGGGATTATTGCTGTGACTTGCCCAGATGACGTGTTTCTATTTTTACATCATATGTATAAAGGGATGATTTTGTTTTCAAGTGAGCCACACAACCATGGGTAATCTACAGTATAGAAGCACTGTGTGGATTTGTCGACATTTGTGTCAAGACTCTGACATCCCTCAAGACCCATGCCCTCCTATTCGTTTGTTTAAGTTCATGGTGTATCAGCAGATGAGCTCGGAACGTTACGCTATGAACATCACCTGGTTACATCAACACTTTCCTTACCAAGGATTAATCGTGTTTCGCTAGTTAAAGACACATTATTCAACCAAATTGTATTCATTCCCGTATTTAACCGGACAGTATCTATTGAATCATGTTGTCAAAAGTATTCACTACTTCTGCCGATCCTTCGCAACCTGTCTCTCTGGGAGGGGTTGCCAAATTTGCCAAAGCACACAAGATTCCTCAATCTCAAGCCAAACAGCAACTGCCACAACTTCTGAATTATACTCTGCATAAACCTCGACGTCGACGTTTTCCGACCTTACCTACGCTAGTGTTTACCATCAACGACCAATTTGTGATGGATGGAATTTAGCCAAACACAACCGAGGCTACAAATATTTACTCACGGTGATTGATGTGCTCTTTAAATACGTGTGGGTGGAACCTTTAAAAAGTAAAAGTGCCACGGCGATGGTCAAAGCCTTAGAAAGACTATGGGCAAGATTAGGAGATTGATTGCCTGAGAAAGTACAAACGGATTCTGGCGGTGAATTCTATAACGCAAAAGTGCAAGCGTTTTTCAAGAAACAAGGTGTGAATCATTTTTTGACGCATGGCGCCCCGCATGTCTCTGTGATAGAACGTTGGAATCGAACTTTGAAAACGAACATGTTTCGTTATTGTACTGCCAACAATGAACTCAAATATATTGATGTGTTACCTGCTGTAGTCAAAACCTATAATCATACCTTTCATCACAGTATTCAAGAAAAACCTGTCAATGTCACCCCCAAAAACCAAAAATGAGATTTGGTATCGTTTGTATGGGTTCAAAAAAGGCATGAACGTGAAAAAACCGCAATGTAAAGTAGGGGATAAAGTCAGATTGAATAAAAAATTTCGATCGTTTAAAAAAGGCTACGTACCAGGGTAGACAGAAGAGGTCTTTTTAGTGCAACAAATCTATACTAAAAAGCCCGTAGTCACCTATAAGCTTACGGAATGGGACGGAACACCTATAAAAGGCACCCTTTACCAAGAGGATGTTCAAAAAGTGGTGTTGCCGGATGATACGTTATTTCGTATTGATCGAGTGTTAAAACGACAAGGCAAACAAGTGTTTGTGTCTTGGAAAGGGTGGTCATCCAAATACAATAGTTGGGTGTAGAAAAAAGATTTGCAAACACTATGAAGGAATTTCGTATCACATTGATCAGTGATCCCACCGATGAATACACTCAGAACAAAAACAACAATTTTAAAGTCTGTTTACCCGTGCGACTCAATTTAGAAGGCTATACCTGGCAAGCCAGTTTGTGGAGTTTGTCTGTGGCAGATGAAGGTCATAGTTCCGCAGTAATGAACAGCAATAGCGACGCTACGTTACTGAAATATCGGTACACGTTAAGCAAACGCTATCAAGATAGTTCAAATGATTGGTTGATTGGATTTCAAGCTAAAGACAAAGCCGTGACCTTAAAAGAAGTCATGGGTGTTTCCTACCCTGTTGTTTACGGTATTCAATTATGGCAGAATATTATTACACCCATGGAGCAAACGATGATGGAGGATGTCAATACCTCTTCAGCAGCATGGAAAGTAACCAAAAATAATGCGTCCACTATCTCCTTAAAAGCAACTTGGAAACCCACTTTTGAATGGAACGGTGACATCTTGTGTTAAAAGGAGTTTCATGGGAAGATGTTTATGCTTGTGACGCTGGCAATGCCGTCATCCCCTTATCATCCGTAAGAATTCATGTAGAGTTTGCTGAAAAATTTGGTTTATTGGTGAGAGACACAAGCAACTAATACCAATTAGGACCCAATTTAGACAATGTCTTACCCACAGTCACTTATACGACATCCACCCCACCAGTCAGAAGCAATCAACGGTTTCAATGGTTAGGAGAGCATTTTGTGGGCATTATTCCACGAGGTTTATTAGGGGGAACTGAAATATTTAAAGTCAAATTAGGGGATGGTCAAGCGTATCTTTACCTCAGTCGCTTTGTAGATTGGCATTTTAAAAACCTCAATGCTCTGTTTAATACTCATGTAGGTGGTATTAAACAAACAGTGATGGTGTATTGCGATGTCGTAGACTCCACGATTGTAGGAGCCCAAAAACATTCATTGTTAAGAAAAGTGGAATTAGAACGAAAAGGGGAAGGCAGAGCCACCATAGAACCGTTACATCGTGAATGGATTCAAGTCCGAAATCAACACATTGAAAGCATTGAAGTGTCCTTGGCCACTCCGCATGGCAATTTGTTGGTATTACCCTCCGGCAAAACACTCATAACACTAGGGTTTCGACAAGTATAAGACAGACTTCATGTGTCACCTGGACACACACGCAAAACAAACACCATGTTGGGAGGTTCACTCACACGCTATTACACACCTACAATGCATGGCAAAGGCTTTACTCGAGAATTGGTCAAATTAGCAGGTCCTAGTGTCGTTCGAGCCATTCGACATGGTCTACAAGTGTACGGAAAGCGAGCGTCAGCCTCAGACGCATTAAAAAGTTCTGGGGAAGTCTTAAAACGGGGTCTGCTGCAGTAGGACTTGTGTTAAAAACCAAAGCCAAACAAAGCTATAAAAAGAGACGACGTGTCAAAGACATTTTAGGTGTCTAATCATGCGACGTGCACAGAGATCACAATCCTGTGTAAGACATCAACGATTGGTGGGTCGTTACCACTCACCCTATCAGTATGGAGGTACCATTATTCGATCACCTCGAAGTCATTTTGACGTGTCCACGTATCCTTCTTATGAAATAGATCCGATGATTCTTCGTTCCCTTAGACAACGAGCAAAACAAAAAGGAGGAAAATTGCAGCAAGTTACCTATCCATGGCAAAGCAAAGGGTGGAAACGTATAAAAAGGCGACGCAGACGATGTTAAGCTATCAGTCTGTCAACATGTCACTTAACCTGTTTGACGTTCCGGACATTGACTACAGGTATGAAGCCAAACGGTGGATTCCTTTCAAACTGGCTAATACCGGAACTCACCCTATTCTTTTTACCGTACCCTCAGGCGATGATTATTATGATCTGAATGAAACCAGCTGGAAATCAAAATACGTATGAACGCCACAGGAGCAAATGGACTTTCTGCTGATGAAACAAGTGCCTCGGATGGTGATAATACCAAATACGTCTATTGTGTGAACAATTTTGGTCATACTCTCTTTAATCAAATGAATGTGTCCTTCAATGGAGTGTTGATGACAGAACAAAGCAATGCCTATCACCAGAAAGCTTACCTAGAAACCCTGCAGAATTTTAATCGCCAACAAGGAGAAACCACTTTAGTTCCTCAAGGATGGGTGAATGAATTAAATGTGGCTGAAGAATTAACACCGACCAATGCAGGCAATAATGATAAACCCAACCCCAACAACTGGAGTGGAAAAACAGGATTGAAGGCACTCACCAGTCGCTTACTTGGTAAAGGGTATCATACCTTTATGATCAAACCCCACATCGCTGTGTTCAGAACAGGCAAATGTTTGGTCCCTGGAGTGCAAATTGATTTGGAATTGTATTTGAATGACAGCAACCTGTTTCTCTTTGGTACACTAGACACTACTACCTCTGTAGGCAAAAAAATTCCTACTCTGGGAGACAATGATTTGTCTGTGACACTGTGGATGAAAAAAGTAACCCTGAATGCCTCTGTGTATGCCAGACTGCTGAAAGAAAGGACCCTCAGTAAAACCAAGAAAGTCCAGTATCCTGTTGTTCGAAGTGAAATCCGAACGTATTCGTTCGATGGCAATAGCACCCGTTGGTCTCAAGCCAATGTCTTCTTGAACAAGGTTCACCATAAGGTCATTATTGGGCTGATGAATTCTACCAATTACAATGGTAGTCTGAAATATTACCCTTATGCTCATGAAACGTTTGGAGTGACCTGAGTGAGTTAGTGGATCGACGGAGAAGAGTACCCTTATAGAAGCTTAGAACTCACAGGGGATTCCTCTGCAGAAGATTTGCTAGGCTATGATCGCTTCCTGACTGCTTCAGGAGCTTACAAACGTCACAGGCTGCCGGGAGACTGGGGACAAGGCAAAAATTGTACCTTGTTTATGTTTAATAATGTTGCGGGTGATTCGGACGATCCTAAATACAGAAATCCCAAAATCAGAGGCAATGTCAGCTATGAAATTGACTTCCGCGCAGCCGTGGGGCACAATATTACTGTGGTGATCTGGCACGAGTATGAAAATATCTATGAAATAGACCAGTGGGGTGGTATTCTTTTATTCCAAGTGATACGGTCCTCAACTACTTGGCTCAAGACGATCGCAAGTTAAAACCGTATTTTCGTAGTGTGTCTCCAGCTGACAAGTTACCCGCTGTGTCTAAGAAAAGAGTGAATGCTTACATTGTCGACACCGATCCTGCTGGAGAACCTGGCAAACATTGTCTAGTGATTTGGACACGTTTGGGGGTGTGTAAAGCGTTTTACAGTTTTGGTTTACACCTCTCTAGCTATACAAACCCCACCTTACAAGCTTGGTTCAAACAGTGGAAAGAAGTGATCACCAGTGAACAACCCTTACAAGCCATGGATAGTTGTACCTGCAGCCATTATGCCTTATTCTTTTTAAAAGGCCAAAGCAAGACATGCCTCCTTTCAAGATTTTTTAGCCCAGTGACATTCAAATAATTTAGTGTTGAATGATAGGCGAGTCGGTGAAAAATTGCAGCGTTTAATTAAAACAGAGCTGACTAGGAGTGACTGTCAGCAATCTAATGTAAACCGCAGCACCTTTTGCTATTTTTATCAATAAAAATGTGTGTTACTTATGACTGTGTGGTTTATTTCAATCCTGTTGACTCGGGGTGACGTTCAAAATGTGTTGATAGCGTTATCAAAGCAAGAATGGTCTTATTGGCAAGACAATTTCGTCAAATGGATTGTTCACTGTATCGATCCAGGAGTGCTATGGGATAGGTATCATTGGCATTTTGTGCGTTGTTTAGTGAAAGCTAAGATGTGGGAGGATTTAAAACATCATATAGACACCATGGGAGAAACGTATTTAAGGGAACAAATGCAAACACTGATTCAGTTAAACTCACCGCGTTTGTATCAAACACAACAATAACAACAAGTTTATTCAGTATTACCATTTTGTACAGGTGTTACCGATTAAAATAACAATAATAAACAGCTAAGTTTAAGGAAATGCAGATATGATGGAACGGTAGAATTAACTATGTTTCTTTCGTCTTTCAAATGCTTGAAAGATGAAATTAGCAGCTAACCTGCTGATATGTGAATCAGTATTATTAAAAACAAAACAGACTTTATCATGGATATTGTAATGTGTAAATAATTTATTTCGGTCGTTGATTTTGATAAAAAGAGTCTTACTTAAATCATTGTATTGATCACAGTGAAATAATATGTGTAGTGCATTTTCAACCGAATTTTGGTTGCAATGATCACAGATTCTGAGGTTCTCCAGGAGTTTTGGGGATTGTAAATCTTCCAGTTTTTATTTTTAGATTATGATTTCCTATCTTAAATTTGGAAGCTACACGCCTATGTTCAGGATTCCGGATATGATTGATGAATTCAGAGTGATTTGTTTCATTTTTAAAGATGGAGTAGAATTTTAGTTTTTTATTTGTTCTTATCAAATTTAGCTGGTGGTTTTTCAGATGTTTTGACAAATTATTCTCAGCTTTGGATAGGAAAGTAGAAGTGTTTTTAAAGTTAACTGACTGTTTATGAATATTAAGTTGTGTACTCAAAAGATTTATTTTGTTTATTAGACCTGATTTATTTTCTTCGGCCATTTTTATGTTTAAGCAGAGTTTAGCAATGCTGTCAGGGGGTTGATTTTCAAGGTGAATCCAAAATTTGAAAATGTTCATTGTTATTTGTAAATTTAGAGATAATCTACCAAGTTCATTTCTCGATGCAACATTCGGTGAGCCTTTGTTTAAACCTAAACTCTCGTACAAAAATGTATATGCGTTTTCTCAATCGAGTCTTTATCCCAGCGGCTATAATCACTTTTATCATAGATTCCCCAAACTTCAGAACTTCAAATTGGGAAAAATAGTGTATTGAACAGTTGTTAATGATGTGAATTGGTAATTTTAGAAAATCTAGATAACGACGAGCGGCAAAAAAGGATCTCTTTGTTTTTTCTGTTAAGTTTTCCTTGTGATTTGTAAAATTTCCATTGGCAGAAAATTTCACTCCAAGATAGGTATAGTTATTGACGATTTCAATGTTTTCATTGCTAACCATAAAATTGTGTTTATCTATTGCTGATTTTCTACTTTTCTTCTGAAATACAATAACTTTGGTTTTAGTTGGATTAATCTTAAGAAGCCAATCCTGACAATATTTTGATAGTCTGTCAAGACTTTGTTGCAAACCTTCTGCCGAGGTAGATATTAGAAGTAAATCATCGGCATAAAGTAGACTGTTTAAGTGAGAACCATCTGGTAGTAAGATAGAATCTTTAGCATTGTTATTTAGAAAGAAGGGTAGTTTGTTTAGATAAAGGTTAAATGGAAGCGGCGACAGAATACAGCCTTGTCGTACATCTTTATCATGGTTGAAAAATTCTGATCGAGTATAATTGTCTTTCACACAACATATTGAATTTGAATACATGCTGGAAATTATTTTGTAAAAGGAGCCACCTATGTTATATTTCAACAGTTTGTATAGTAAACCTTGGTGCCAAATTGAGTCAAATGCCTTTTTAAAATCAACAAAAAAAGTATAAAGTTTACCTCTGGGGGAGTGGGTAACATGTTGGTCTATTAACGTTCTTAAACTAAAGATATGCTCAGATGTACGATGTCCGGGCACAAAGCCAATTTGGGAGCGATAAAGATTGTTATGATTGTTTGAACAGTTTAATGATCTCGTATTTAAAATAGCACAAAAAACTTTGCCAAGACAACTACTAATGCAAATACCTCTATAATTTGAAGGGTCATCTTTGTTTCCAGATTAATGTAAGGCAGTGATTATTCCATTACTCCATGATGTAGGAAATGTTCCAGATTGTAGAATCAGAGAAAAAAGTTTCTCAAGTGGATATTTTATAAAGCTTGAGCTTGTTTTAATCATTTCATTGCGTATTCCATCAAGTCCAGCGGCCTTCTTGTTTTTTAGTTTTTTAATTGCTTTATCAATCTCTTCAATGGATATTGGGTTGTCTAATTCCGATTGTAAATGGTTGCTGTCCTCCAAACGCTTTTTATCGTTTAACATGTGTATTTGAAATGCTGATAATGTATTAGGATCATGTACTGAGTGTAGCGTTTTAAAACGATCATAAAGTTTATTGGTCGGGTTTTCGTTATTATTATAAGACAAGTTGTTTTCGTTCATTGACTTTAAAGTATCCCAAAATTTGCGGTTATTTTCGTTACTAATCAGCTCATTTATTTTAGAGTCAACAAATTGTTGTTTTTTTTGTTTTATAAGTTTTTAAAGGTTTTATTTTGAACATGATATTCTTTTCTGAGTTCGGTATCCAGAGGATTGCGGTGTTTTTTGTTAGATAATTTTTTAAGTGAAGATCTTAAAGTTTTGCAATCATAATCAAACCACTTCTTAGTAATTGGCTTTCTTTTAGATTTCTTTTGGCTACTTAATTTGAGTGAACGTTTTGCTGCCTCAGTTATAATGTTTGTGAATTATAATGTTTGTGAATTGATTGCTGCAGACGTTTCGTCCCAGACATACTGTTGTGCAAGCTTAACGTTGTTTTTCTCTTGAAAACTGTTATTATTATTTGAGAGGTATGTACCAGTTTTGATCCAGCAGACAATTTGAGAGTGATCTGAAAATATGTTTGGTTGCTTTATAGCGAAACCTTGAACCGAAGTGAACAGGTCATGGGTAACGATAATATAATCTACAGTACTTATTCGATTAATAGAGTGAAATGTGAAGTTTCCTAGGGTATCTCCCTTAGATCGGCCGTTTAGAATCCTTAGATCACAGGTTTTACAAAGATCAAGTAATTGTTTTCCATGATCGTTGACAATGTTATCAAAGTTCTGTCTTTTAGTGAGATTGGGTGGTGGAGGAATTTCTTCGCCAGGTATAAACGTGCCACTTTCATCCGTGATAAAATCATTTTCTTTTCCAGTTCTAGCATTAAAGTCACGGGCTAACACAATTAAACCTTTTCTGTGAAATAAAGCTATATCTGTTTCAATGTTGGAGAATAATTCTGGGTCAAAATACGGTGAGTCGTGGGGAGATATAGAGGGCACGTAGATAAACATCGTGTTCTAAATTAAAAAACGTGTGATTTTGTCCACACCAGATATAATTATTATGTGATTTAACAAATGAAATGCCATTTCATAAATAATTCTTGTACCCTAGGACTAAACCCCCTGAAAGTCTTTCAGTTTTCTTTTTGTGAGTTTTTTGGGCTGCGTTTGAAAAAGTGTTAAAGCCAGGAATTTGCACGTCATCTTTCATCCAAGATTCAGTTAAAATTACAATGTCATGTTTATATATATGATTGATGAATTCTTCATTTGTTAATTTGTTCCCAAATCTTAAACGATCAGTTAACCCATGAACGTTCCAGCAGCTAAGACTAAGTATTGATTTACGACTTACACTTAAAGGCGAACGGCAACCGCTGAAACATATTTCCAAATCGGGGTATCTTGAGGCGGTGTACGCTCAAAATAAAGGAGATCAAAGCTTTCAAAAAAATAAAAAATAAAAATATAATAATATAATAAAATAATAATAGTATAATATGTTGATATATGTAAAATAAAGTAATTAACTGTAAATACCTTAATTTTGACGCATTGTTTCATAAAGGTTTAGTAAATTTAATACAGTTTCAATGTTCAGTGGCGGCGGATTTGTGGCGTTACGTTTCACCACCGACGAGTAAAGGGGTTTTCCACCCAGGCCAAGGTGGTTGTTTCCAGGGACAGGAACTCGTGGGAGAAACTCTCGTTAACCAGGCGTTGATAACATTCTGCTCGTCGGTGATGGTGGTAGGTCTAGTACTCGAGTGGTGAGGTTAGACGGTAAGTTCCTTGATTGGATTCTCCTAATTCTGTTGAAAACAGTGTCCTTCAAGTTTGTCACAAGGAGGCCAATTCGCTTGCGTTTTAGATGTTTGATGTCGTAAAGATTTTCAACAGTGATGTTGTCGTTATTCACTAGATGGACATTTGGGTATGGGGCGCAGAGATGTCCAAGTTTTGTATTAAACTCTTGCCTTTGTTTATCGATACCGTCTGCGCGGATGAGGAGTGATCACACGATAACTTTTGACGATGAGTGTTTCGCAGAAACGAGTTTGAGTAGTTCATGGTAGTTACTAATGCATTGTGAAGTGCGCAGTTTTTCTAAATCATTTGTGCCAGTGTGTATGATGATGTGGCTTGGATTGCCGAGATCATTTTTTGTAAGAAGATCAGTGGCTGATGTAATAGTTGGTGTGAAATATTGGTGGGTAGGGGTTCTCGGACTGAAGCGCTCACAATCAATGTATTTGCCATTAGAGTCATTTAGCATGTTGATTGAATTGATGGTGGACTGGTTGTTCTTATGCTGAGGAGGGCGATTTGTTTGGGATTTTTCGTTTTCTTTCCTGGTGAGGATTTCCTGAGTGGCGTGACGGACATCGTTAGGTGAATGCAAAGGTGAAATCGTGTGGATATCGCCGTCACCTGGATCGTCATCCATCAGACCTGAGCAACTGTTTGATAAAGGAATTGAGGCATCTTCTGGATATTGAGATTGTTCCGAAGGGGGATCTGTTTCCATTGTCGTTAGAGATTGGCTATTGTGATCAGACAGATCAGAACGCCCTGCTGGGCCATTGATTATATTACTGCCGGTGCTATTGTCTGAAGAGTTGTTGGATTGTAGAAGGCACTTAATTTGCTTGATTTCTGATTTAATAAAGTGTATGTCCGATTTGAGTTTAGAATTCTCCGATTTCATTTTGGCGTTTTCTGCTTTAAGGAATTCATTTTCAGTTTCCAGGTCCTGCATCCTAGAATGAAGGGTCTGAGAATCTACTCTGGTTGAGTTTCCCATTTGTGTGATTTTGTCTTCTTGTGCGAATACTTGTTCCTCGATGTGATGATCATTTGCGTTTCTAAGTTCTGCCACATCCGCTTTGATTTTGCTGATTCTTTCAGAGTTGCGATGCTGTTGCTTTGTCTGGGGGTTAATAGGGAGTTAAGCGAATTCCTTCTCTTCAGGGGCCGAGGTGTTGCACAACTGGCCATGTTGTCTTCACCGATATCTGGTTTTGTTTTCAGATCAGTTGGGACAGCATGGTCGAACCGTTCGGTGCATGTGCCAGGTTGGTCGGCTTTCCTCTTCTTCAGAGATTTTGTCTTGTTTGTAGGTAGGCACAAGACCGCCGTATCCAGGTTCTTGAAAAGGAGTTCGGTATGTTCAAACGTGAATAAAGGCTCCTGCGGAGCTTGGTCAACTGATGTGTCTGTGAAATCCTTTAGTAGAGGGAATTCATGTTCTGCCCACAGTTTGTAAGCAATTCCCTGGAACCTAATAACTCCAGTCGTAAGATATGCGTGAATTGTGATTAGGGTAGATATAGTTTCATCATCACAAGAGGCAGACTGGCTTAGGTCACCGCTCGAGTGTGGATGATCTTCAGTGATACTCAAAATGTTGATTTCGATGTCTTGAAAGGTGGCTGTATCAGAAGATTCTTCATGATCAATCCATATTACTTTGAAGTGTGTTGGAAAGAGTAGATCCAGTAATGAATTCGATCTGGTGATGTCAGGAATGAGGCGCAACGTGCTGAGGGCTTGTAAATATCCAAGTCAATAGATTCAAACTTCAGAAGTTTCCTTTTTCCTGATTTCTCCTTAAAATCACTAATAATATACTTTGCTTTGATCTCCTCCATTCTGAAGGTATAAACCCACCGAAAGAATGAGTTAGCGTTGAAAACGAAAAACAATTACGAAGAGACACAAGGCACGTCCGTCGCGCGCCATGCTGTAACACTATGGGGCGGACACGAAAACGTCGAGTGAGACGACAAAAAGGAGGAGCACGTTTTAGGCGAAAACCACGCCTTGTTGATAAAATAGCCAAGGGAGTCGCTATGGGATTGTCAGGCCCTTCCCCTAGTTTTATGAGAATGGGTGCGTTCTTAAGGAAAGAAGCTTTGAAAGGTATAAAAGATAATGTGCAACATTATCGACGACGAAAATGATTCGACAACCCGCTAGCGTCCTTCAGGCAGTGGTAAAAGTGAATTGGTCGAGCAACTTCTTAAAGAAAAAACCTTGTTTTACCCTCCCTCTAAAAGAGTCGTGTATTGTTAGGATCGTTGGCAACCCTGTTTTGATCGTAGGAAAAAACAATCTAAAGTCTCTTTTTACAAAGGGCTTCCTCCAGAAGGGGCGTTAGCCAAATGGTTCAAACCAGAGCATCATAGGATTCTTGTTTTGGATGATTTAATGGAAGAATCTGGCAACGATAAACGAGTCTTGGATTTATTTACCAAAGATTCCCATCACCGTGGTATTACGGCTTTGTATCTCACGCAAGATTTCTTCCCACCTGGCAAATTTGCGAAAACCATTAACTGCAACGCTCACCATGTGATTTGTTTTAAATCTCCGAGGAACAAGACAGGCATCCGTCATTTACTCCTGCAGGTGTACTCTGAAAAATGGCGTCGAGTTCTCAAATTATTTTTGAAACTCACTGCACGTCCCTTTGGTTATTTTATGCTTGATTTACATCCTGCCTCCGATGATCGTTTTTGCATTTGGAGTCACTTAACTAAACGAGAAGGAAAATCATTGATACATACCTTTGACGGAGATATAATTAGCCGATCGATTCGTACAAAACGCAAATGCAAAAAATGAGGCGAAAAGGAACAGCAAGAAAACGTAAACCTGGCGCGGGAAGACAACGTGGAGGCATTGGGCCTTTTTTGGCAGCAGCCATTCCTGCTTTAGTGGCTGGCAGAAAAGCTGTAGCGCTCGTTGGATTAGGTGCAGCTGCGAATTATGGAACAATAAAAACCTTAAAATTTTTGGAAAAAAAGAAGTATAAAAGGCGAGCCCACCTAAGCGACGAACAAAAACATCATGACGGGACGCATGACCAGGCAAAGTCACTTTTTAAATGATGTCTTAAAGGAAGCAAACCAATATAAACGACAACAAAAATTACGCTATGCTAATGCAGATCAAATTAATGCTGTGAGTGAATTGGTGATGAATACTTTGCGGGGGGCAATAAGTCCAGGTAGAAAAACAGTGCGTGCCCTTAAACCTTACAGTCAACCCCTGCGTCTCATTGCAACCCCTCGACAGAGTATAAAAAGGCGAAGACAGCTTATGAGTCAACAAATAGATGGAGGTGCTTGGAAAGAATTGAACCGTTATCGCTGCGCCAAAACTCAATACTGCTACTAAACATGAAAAAACAGTTGCTACAGGGATTGCCGTGTCTGTTAGATTACTTTCTTCTGTTGGCTCAGACGCTAAAAGAGCTTAAGCAGAAAGTACATCAGAGATGTCGTCCCAAAAACCTGTAAGTATCTCTCCTCACAATGAAAAAGTCACATTAGAAAGATGGATGGGATATCTAGTACACTAGTCAAAAACTCTGTGCAATTTTTAAAGTTACGTGATCAATATAAATCAGATCTCTTAGACAATAGTCGTTTGACAAAAGCTGCTGGCTTAGCTGCTCAACAAGAACTGTTGCTGGAGAGTCCTGCCCCAGATACTTGGAAAGAACCCCGGTTAAACTATGTTAATAGGGAATTACGGCAATGGACAAAAAAAATCCGTCAACCTGGAGGAACCCGTGTGATTGGGCGGGATGATGTTGATACAGATGATAAGGATGAGAATAATTTAGCCGTAGGTCCTTTGCAACAATTTATGGGCAACATCGTGAAAATTCAAGACTATAAAAAGGAAAGCACAGCCTGCTACTCTGCAAACACCCATTACACCGACTCTAAAACAGTCTGCCCAGACTTCCTCAAGCAGTAAAAAACCCAAGTCGTCCTTTAAGACTGGGTCCAAGGCTAAGCGTTTGTTACCCAAAACCCCTAAAAAGACCCCTAAATGCTAAACAAAGCCAAACACTCCTGGATGTTTACCGGTTTCTGGGTAATCGCGTTCGATTTTTTTCACTCGGACGCGAATATCAACTCGGACCCGATTTCGTTTAATCGAGCACGATAACAAATTGGGTCCGATTTCTAGTCGGGTCCGATATGTTTCAGATCGGATTCCAAAACTAATCGGGCTCGAATTGTTGTTAAATCGGGCCCGACTAAGTGATCGGACTCGATTTAAATTAATCAGGTCCGACTTGTTTTAAATCGGGCCCGATTTCTTATCCGGTCAGAGGGTAACTTCATCGAGTCCAATTTCTCGGTAAATCGGACTCGATCGTTGGATAGTCAAATTGGAGGCAGAGGGTGGGTAGAGAACATCTTCAAAGCACGGAAAAGGTATATTTTTCAAAGGAAAAAGAAACGGAAATGTTATTATCTCGTCGCTTCTCGTCCCCAGGGATCGCTCGACTCTCCCCAAGGGTTACTCTCCCCAAGCTCCTCCGCCATATTGGAAAAGACGTGTACCGGTACATCTAATTATGCGTTTCAACAACTCTCTTTTTCCCACCCTTTATTGACTTTATTTACCTCGTCCCGCGTTTGAGAGGTTGCTTTAAAAGAAATAATATGCTAAAAGAGGTAGGTAAAAAATAGATTTATTATAGCCTTTATGTACTTATAAGCTTAAGTTTACTCAACAATAATTGAACTAATAATCTAAGTTAAGCTTAACTATTGAACTGCAACCACAAGATATGACTATTTACACAATTATAATAAAAGATTTGCTAGTAAACTGATTTATTTAGATGAATAGCAGTATCCACCAATTTTGTTATGTCTTTTAAATTGTCTGGTCCAAATATCAGGCAATTACTGTTCCACTTGGTCTCAAGTGTCAACCGACATCATAATATAGAAGTTAAAGTTTAAGAAAGAAGTAAAAATGCTATCCTAACTACGTAGTTTGGTCATTGTTCACATATGTACATTACAGTGCAACACCGTTAATGCAGTCTCCAGTGTGCCCCCCCCCCTGAAAAAAAATGCCTGTCAATTTCCGGAGCAGGGTCAAATTTCACGAATCAAGGCCTGTACTGTCGTCCAAAAAGAAGACAAGAACAGGTTTAGCTTACTTTGTCAATGACATTGAAATGAATGTCACAGGCATTTCAATTTTGTAAATTTCAAACAAAGGGCCGTGTTAATGGGGTAAAATTTGTCAAAAAAGTTTAAAGCTTATGATTTTAAAATGTGGCGGTGAGCCACATTCATGTGTGACTGCATTAACTAAGGGTTTTTGTAAGAAAATGTATGGCCGTTTTGCTGAAAAAAAGTGACTGAAATAACGAGGTGACAGTTTGATCAAGGTGGCTGTAAGGCGGGGTTCCACTGAATCTCTTTTTAGCTTAATGATTGCTCTATTGTCTATTTTTCTTTTCCTACTACTTATATACAATACAGTGTACAAGAAAGAATTGAATTGAATGGAAATACGAAACCCTTTCAACTTTCATCCCTCTTGTTCTAAAGCCAAATATTTAATTACACGATTGCATACTTGTCTTTCAACCAAGGTTTACTCAGTTTTAACTTGAAGCTGTATGTGATGTCTTTTGGGCTAAAAAGTAAAGTTGACATTATTTGGCAAGATCCATAGAGCCACATGTTTGCTAAATATCATACTTTTATACAAGCTTTTACACAATTAATTTCATGTATTCGGGGTTAAAATGGCCCCAAGAAAGACTGAGAACAATGCTTATGCAAAATTTTGGGGTGACAAACAAAGAATGTTTGGTATGTTGTAGTATTTTGAATTCGACTTAAATTTTAATTCTGTCCGACCAAACCTCAGGTTACTTTAACCCATCTTTAAGCAAATGGCCGCTGGGAAATTTAATGAATAATTATGGCCTATCTTATCCTCTACAGAGACAATGGTGTATCTTAAGGTCCCTAGTACAAGATACTTGTACGTACAATTTATAATTATCATTTTCAACGATGTGTTTTTCTGGGAACATTTCATACATGATGGGGAATGGCCTGGACTTTATCGTTGTTAATTCAACTTTGAAAACCTATAAGGAAACAAGCTCTTTCTTCAATATTTGTCTTAGATGTTTGTTTCAGTGTATTTCTATTCAATGAAAAGAAAAAAGAAGACCTTGGTCTGCCAGCTTATCCTCTTTCCAACTTTTTCATTGTGAACAATGGAATATCTTATGTTCATTTTTTTTTCTTTTTTTCTTGCTTTAAATCTTAAAATTTATAGCCCTGGGCCCAGTTGTTCAATGGCTGATTAGCGCTAACCAGGGGTTAAATTTTAAACCGAGTTTCTTTTACTTTTGTTCAAAAACATTTCCTTGGATAATTTTTGCTAATTTCTTTGGCGTATCCAATCATCAAATTGTAGACAAAAAGAGTAAGACTGAATTTGTGTTTTAAGCTTTGGTATTTGAGTTTTGGATTATCTTAACCCAACTTTGAACAACCCGGCCCTGGTTGACTATTTACAGTGTACAGTATGAGTTTTTTTTCACATTTTTAGGTTAAGATGGTATATTATAAATTTGATCTCCACCTTTCCATCCCCATCTACATATCTGTTTATGTCAATCATTCTTCTCCCCCACATTTCTCCTTCCTTCAGGATGACTGTGTCTGAGCGGAAGGTAGTCTCTGTTTCCTCACCAGCTGACATTACGATCCTTTGAACAGAAACAGCAAAGTTATTGGGAGGTAATTATGCACTTCTCATCAACCAGGGCGTCAACCCCCAGGAAACAAATCATGACAAATACTGTAAACATGTTAAAAAAGGGACTCATTTAGAGTCATGATAGACGGGACAATAATTGCACTATAATATCATAAATCCCCCTGTCCATGACTAACAATTTGCCAATAACACAGGAAAAAATAACGGATTCCCATTTTTGGATATTTTAGGGTACTTAAAGAATACCCATAAGAATGCCAAATTTGGCAAAGTTAGACAAGTTCCAACCAGGGAATTCCCAACCAAGTTCCCTGATTGGGACTTGTCTCACTCTTCCAAATTTGGGATTTTTGTGGGTATTCTTTAAATACCCTAGAATTTCCAAAAATGGGAATCTGTTATTTTTTCCACTCCATGGCATGTTCCCAGGGATGACATTGCCTCCCCCCCCCCACCCACCCACATGGATGGCCACTACTGATAGCTGTTTTCTGTCTAACTGTTATTTGTTGTCAATATGGTCAACATGTTCTTTTCTTTGATGTTCCACTGTTCTAGCAAGTCTTTAATTCTTAATAATTTTGTATTGACCAAGAATCACTGTGCAGTTTCTTTTCCTTGCTTACACAAATATATCAGTCTAGAAATTAAAATTAGGTTGCTTTCAAACAGCATGTTAGTATTACTACACACTGGTGAATAACATTAATTCTTTTAATAAATTATTATTTTCCCCAGTATTGCTCTCTTTTCAGGATCTGCCCCCATGTCTTATTCCCCCCCCCCCCTAAACAGATACTTTTGACATGTTCTTACCGGATTTCTGTGGTTATTGGATGTGCGGCTTCAACCAGCTGGAGAAACAATTCTTGGTCAATGGTGAATAAAGCCCTCCACTTGTGTCCTCCGTGTATGCCAGCACCTTGAACTTGAAGGTTTCGAGGAAAGTTTGTGATACTCCAACAAAAGGAGTCAATCCTGTTCACCTTAACTGCCACTGGGTTACTTGTCTTAAAAAAAGAAACATAATAGTGTTAAGTATAAAGCTGTGTGTCTATCTATGCAATGAATTTATGATAGAATCTAAGCACAAATTATTGTTATTCAAATTTTAACATTATACTAAATAATTAATAGTTTAAGACTCACCCTTTTCTTGAACTGCATGGACTATGCTGTAATATTAGGGTATTAAAAGAACACCAATAAAAATCACAAATTTGGCACAACCAGGGAATTCCCAACCAAGTTCCCTGATTGGATTGGGACTAGTCTCACTCTTCCAAATTTAGGATTTTTGGGGGTATTCTTTAAATACCCTAAAATATCTAAAAATGGGAATCCGTTGTTTTTTCCTGTGCGTTAAGAGCACTAAATATGTTATGTACTGAACTTTTCTTAGTAGGGGGATCCAACATGAAGATACAGGGGATGCTTGCAGTCTCACTTATTGGTACAGTTACTGTATATTTTGGTCTGACCAAAGGTGTTCCGGATTGAAAGCCTATGTTTTAAGTCGTTCTTATTTTCCACTGGACATCCCTTTCCTTTCTAACCAAATTCTCTTGGTTATGTGGTACAGTTTTTATTGCCTTTGAATATTGTATTTTTGGTTCCTTACCTTGTTAAATATTGATTGCTTCAGCTTGATGATTTCGTTCGACTGCAGGGCGAAATGCTCTGCGGCAGCCTCCATTAAATGGGTATTCAATTTTTTTCTCTTTACCAACGTTCCACAGCCCATCACTCTGCACTCTGTCACCGTTTCAGGGCAGAGGTGTTGGTGAAGATTGACGTGGGATCTGAAATGAAATTCATAGTTTGTTAAATTTATTCATAAATTTACATATATTTACATTGCTTCCTTTAAGCTGTGTCCCTTTTAAAAAGGCCATTTTCAAGCTGCAATCATAGGGTTGAACGTTAGCCACAGGGGAGGTTAGGGATGGTTCTCCCATATACAGTTTATGAGCTACACTGAGACATGTTCATCCCAATAAGGTATTGTTTTATAGAGGATCCTGATCCTTGCACAAGGGTACCTTATTTGTGTTCCTGGGCGATCGATGGATTGGGAAACTTCATGATTAATAAATAGTTTATTGTATGAGCTCAGATCCAAAAGTGTAAGTGCCCAACTCTAACACCAAGTCATATCATACGTAAAAGCTGGACTCCCTTGCAGCATATTTCATGCATGAGTCAGGCCATTAAATTTAGAGTTATTTTATTTTGAGTTAATGGTCTTGAATGTGGTATCAATTTCCGTAATACAATCGTTAAATATACTCTTTATTTATGACCTATCTGAAATTTATACCCCACATAACCATAGGAAAGGTCAAGCAATCATCTATACAGATATATAGATATTCGTTATTTGAGTAGAACGTATATAGATATATATATGTATCATCTTGATGATGAGAAAGAAATAAAATAAAAATGTTATACAATCTTTTAACTGTGTAAACACTAAGTTTAGGCCTTCCTGACTACTTTCGCTCTAGCCGAAAGGGAAGGAGCTGGGGACGAGGATTTCGGCTCGTGGAAAGCGCGAATGACGCGCGAGAATAAGGAAAGGTTCTCCTCCACCCTACCTCGCGCGCGTTCTCGAAAATGCCGTTCATTTTTCTTTTGAAAGCCTGCCATACTGGCTACACCTTAAGAGTGTCACTGAAATTAATAGCATAGATACCTGGGAAATATTATTAAGGGACACGGTCTTGTGGCGTTTGTGCATTGGAATTGCGCGTGCTCCTGCGACGAATCCCACACTATCAGATCACCACAACCTTTGCAGGGGATCTCCCTCTTGCTGCAGGATTTTTCGTGCTGCGGCATTTTTTCTCTAGACTCACGGAATGCGCATCTGTCGTTTGAACATTTCACAAGCAGCTTGGGGCAATGTTTTTGATGCGCTTGTGCCCTTGCATATTTGCCTTTCCAGTCACATCCTTGACTTTGGCACTCCACAGCAAGTTCGTTTGTGATGTGGTCGAGGGCGATATTGACAGCAATACTTCACCAACTTTTAGTACTGCGGAAGAAGACTTAGCCACTGAATCACCTTGGACATGTTCCACATCGAAAGCAAAGGAGAGTATTAAAAAATCATTTAATGAGGCTGCGAAAAAAGCAACAGAAAGAGCCTTAAATAACTCGCACCAGCCACGGGTTGGAAACGGTTTGGAACCCCTACAAAACGTAAATTACATGGCAAAGACTGGTAAGAAGCGCACACAAAGACCTTGCAGAAAACGATGACAGAGAGGTGGAAAGTTCGATCTTCAAAAAGCGATTGAAAAAACAGGCATTGAGTTTCATTTACCAGGAATGAATTTTACGGGACCTGGGACCAAGTTACAGAAAAGATTGAAACGTGGAGCCCGGGGCGTGAATCGGTTAGACGAGATTGCAAAAATCCACGACATTGACTATAGCAAGGTGAACAATTTACAAGATAAGTGGAAAGCCGATGACAAGATGATCCGAGCCATTACCATGTTACCAGGCAAGAAAACCAAGACAGAGTGGGTAGTGAAGAAAATTATGCAAGCCAAGAGAAAACTCAAGTTGTAACTGTCCTTTCTTTATTGAATAAAAACGTTTGTTTTTACATACAGTTTTTTTTTAATTCTTTGTAAAATGGAGCTGAAGCACACATTGACTATCCGATTGAAATTGAACTAGATTGCCATTTAATTCTTTAAGCGTGATTCCCACTTCATCCCAATAATTGTCTTGTACGTCATGAATAGTTTCTTGGACGGGGGTAAACGCATAGCGTTGTCTTCCTTTAGGGGCGTAGTACACAAGAGCCAGTGATTGCGTGACGGTCACGCTGTTAGCAGTCACTTTGGCTGTGACTTCCAGAGGTCTGGGGTGAAGGATTAAGGCTTGTTCAAAACTTTGACTGAGGTTAATAAAACGCCAATCAGAGAGAGTAGTTAAATGAAGCCAATTACCAAGTATTTGGGTGGGTTTTCCCGTCTACAAGGAACTGGCTCTTTTAGTGTGATTAGGGTAGCTATGTACCAAATTCGGTCCCATGCTATCGGCTTGATTGGTCTGGGGGTTCATCCAATGCAATGTTTCAGCCAAAGGTTTGTAGATATAAATTAAATTGTCCGTATGACTATGTTTTAAGACCATTTCAGGCTGCACTCCGTCTTTTGTTCCACTCTAAGGCATGCCAACGGGCTGAACTAAACTGAAAACCATCATCCAAACTAGCGTGCGCTGTTTCTTCTATTCTATGTTTTAGGGTATTTAAAAAATCCACCCCTTCATGACAGGCACCTGCTTTCTTCCATTCACGTAAATCGCCTGCATTGACATAGCCTTTTTTCCACACATGGGATGGACCTGCTTTTTCAGCTTCACACCATAATCCCATTAAATTCACATTTGCACTTTGTAAGTTTTTAAACAAAGCCATTTTAGAGAGAATCGCCGAAGCAATTGACACTTTCCATCCTTATCCCGGTAACATTAACTGGGGTTTGACTTTAAAGTGATTGGCCACATTACCAGCATAGCTTTTGGTCACATCGCTGACGAGGGTTACGTAGATATTGACATAATGTCGATAAAGAATAAGTGTTACCCCTTAGGACACCCTCTATTTATAGTCACAGACCACACACAATGTTCTAAGAGTCGCGACTTTGTTTATTTCGTCATGTCACCTCCCTGCCAATCACATGTTACAAAGCCTAATTTGTTTAAAAAAAAAGCATGCAGATGTTCTTTGTTTTTTAAAAAATCCTTTACAATGAAAGCAAAAGTTCTACATGGTCACCAAACCAATTGTAGCCATAAGGGTAGGACACGTGTGGTGTGATCGATGACCCGTTTATCAGAGACCAGTCCGTAACGTTTTACTCTCTCTATCAGTCGTATGCGCTTCGTGGTTTGGTTTTGTTCAAAGAAATTGGGAGTGACAATGTCCATGTTTCGGCGCTGGTCTTGTGGGTCATCCAGTTCTTTCAAGATGTTGTCTTTCATGGTCTGGTAATTCAATGTTTGCAGCCCTGCTAATTTAATGTAAAGCCACGAACTTTACACTTGGTCTTGCCACTGCGTTTGAGGTAGCCGTAGTTCTTGGCTCCACCACTGACAAACTCCACGATGGGGTCCCCACTGACTTCGTCTGTAAATTCACCTAAAAATTCACGCAGAGGTAAATCCACCTGCCCTGGTTTCGATCGGTAGATGAAACTGTCCGTGTCATAATACAACACGCGCTCTTTTAAGGTGTCGAGAGCCCCATACAACTTCAGGTGTGCGTGAGAGGTGGTGAATGCCGCTATGAACACATTGGTTTTAATGCTACGTCCATATTCTTCTTCAGCCATGGTGGTGACGACCTCCTTAAGATCTTCATTACAGATGCGCACAGCTGAGATGTCCTAGGCGGGATCATCCAGGAGGTTAAACAACTGGTGGGGCGAGGTGATCACATGCGTCTGTGGTTTATTTTGGCACTCACCAAATTTTCCCCATAGGCTGCAAGAGAAAAAACACAGAAACTATAAGTTTGTTATTGTTCTCTCAGAGGTCCGCAGATTATAACTTTTTCTTAGGTGCGGTAAAACACGGTAAGTTAAGTGGTGTGCCCTCATGGTCTTCATAGCGTTTCACATAAGCCGCTTTCTGCTAAGCCGTCTCACAACCTGCTGGCCATCCGGTACTTTCTTGTTTTAGTTTCAGGCAAGTGTTCACATAGTCTTTGAACGAACCCACGCGTCTGTTCCCAGGGGTAAAGTGCCGAACTTCATGAATCTTGAGGATCTGATATCCTTTCTCCACTGCTTTCTGTAATTCGGGAGTACACCACGTACCGCGCAGCGTTCTTTCTTGCGTACTATGACCACACATGTTGCTTCGCTTGAGCCAACGTTTTTCTTGCTCCTCTTTCACGCACTTGCCACAGAGTGGGAATGTTAATTTACCCCCTTCTTGAACGGGAAGGACTGGGTGAAACAACCGGTCGGGGCCTATGACATCGACTTGAGCGATTCCAAAGTAGCCGTGGATATCTTGGTTGGAGGGATTTAGGTATATCTCCGGTAGGCCTACAGGATACTCACAGTACTTATTCAGATACGGGTACAAAGAAATGAAATCTTGATGTCTTATTTCTTTGCAAGGCTCCGCTTTCGCGTACAAGGTTGTAGCACTGGTTCTACCACCAAAAAATGCATCTCTGGGTTCTAGAGGGGGAACAGCTTCATAGGTTTTCAAGAATGTTTGCAGGTCAGGATCTGTTTTCTTGTCTTCCTTGTACTCACATTCCCATTTTTCTACAACGGTGTACCCTGCGGCTCTCAACATCTGTGCTTTTCTCACAGTGGCCTCATAGACTTCCTCCACGGTTCGATCGGAGTGACAGTTTCTTGGACATCTCGTTTCCCTTTAAAACACCGCTTGCATCCGTGAAACCAACATCCTTGAAACTTATACACCGTCGGAGCTTCCTGATGAAACCCATCCACAAAATATGCCTGCGCCGGGGTTAAGACTGACTTCACCATCCGTTGAATTTCTCACGTGCTGAATTCTTCCCATACCACCCACTTTCGAATCTTCAAATTCTAACCATTCAATTGCTTCTTAGCTTTGGTTGACCTGATGTTTTTGCCATCCATTGTGGAATTCCAAGGCAATCAGATTAGGTTTCAAAAACAATTTTTGAAACACTCGGAAGGCAGTATTGGCAATAGTCACGCAGCTGGTTAAGGGGTTCACCCTAGTCAGGTCTTCCATTTCCCTCACAAAGGTAAGACAAGCTTCTTTCAGGACTTAAGAGCGACTTCGCGTAACTATCAACTACAAGTGGAAATAGTCAAAAAATGACCTCCCCTCAAACTCCGCCAGAATGAAGCCCTGTGGGCCCTAGTTACAAAATCGTTGGTTTAAGTTCGATCGATTGAACGGTATTTTTTTAACGAATTTTTTCTTTCCGAGGCCTAAAATGGGCTAAAATTATGCAAAAATTAGAGCCAGTTTCAGTGGCTCGTACATTTAAAAATAAAGATTGTCATTAAAATATAACTGCCTGTCATATCTTTACTTCATTTCCTCTATGACTAGAACTAATAAGATCGCGATTTAGTCAATAATAGATTTTTTAACAAATTTTCAAAGTTGGTGACTCAAAATCGCTTTTTAAACGGTCAAAATTTAGCACATTTTCAAGAGCAAAAAAAGCGTATTGGTACATGGCTTTAACTAACAAGTCTTGCCTAGTCTGAAAGAGCATTCTTTTTTCTTCAAATTGGCGAAATAAAATTTTTGGGTAAATGAAATCACGAGCTTTGACAAAGCAGGGTAAAATGTAAATATTACACTTAAAAATATGACCTCTGACCCGAATCCAAGCAACTGCGAATTACGGTAGGCGGCAAACCTTTTCGCCATTTGGTTATTTTGAACCTTTTTAAAACAATATTGATCCAAAATATGTATAGATGAGAGATATGTTTAAGTATTAAGTGTTAAAAGCCCATGATGTGGTTTAAATTCCAATAAGACGCAAAACATCTGTTCGTTGCATGACCGATAAAATCAGCGAAGTGAGCGAATCAATGCATGCCTAAACAATATTTAATCCGATCTTACCCTCCTAAGACTGATACGTTCCAGTATCAGATTTAATAAAGCTTCACAGAAGATTCCTTGGAATGACTTCAGAGGGAATGATTGAAGAATTTGAAACTATAGCTCGAGCGCATTGCACTTCAACTTGTCGAGACCGGACAATTGCAAAACAAAACAACTGTCAAACTACCACAGGCCAACCAGTTTTAAGTGTATTATGCAAATGAGGATGGAGGTCACGTCATTCCACACGGAGAAGTTATTTCATGCTGTGCACAGTTATGAAATAAAGCAAGCGAGCGATTGTTCCCTTTAACAAATAAAAAATAAAGATAGTTTTCTTCCTGGTTTCTGAAGGAATGAAATTTTCCTGAGTTCTGGTCAACTGATAGACACAGGGTTTGTTAGCAACAAATACTTATAGCGCGATTTTTTACACCAAAGACCTACTCAAGAGAGCCTACTTTGTCAGTTTCTAACTATTGTTATTGCAGGTACATGACTGGATCAATTCGCCAATAAGGGCAATGTATGGTGCCTTGCGACGAACAGTTAGTTGTTCCATACCGAAATATTGGCAAATACTTTGTAACATGTTGACACTGAACTTGTTTAGCGAACTTGCGTGATACATTTCGCATAGGTCAAAATTGTCGTAGGTGATGGGGTGTTGGAGTTGAACCTCTCGAAGGATTTGTTCTCGAGTATTCCAGTACTGCTGTTGCTCGGCAGCAGCGTCATGATCTCTTCTCTCATCCTCGGTGGATTGATTGCGCAGTTTGCCTGCTTGTCGAGAGAAGTACGACTGAACTTGCTGCGCAGTTAGAAATTCACTACGGGTGAAAAGCCGTTCACCCTCAGCAGTTCTGGCGTAACGCATGTCGTGAGCTACGGAAGCTGGATCCTGTTTGTGACCTGTTTTCTGACCGATTTTAAACTTTTCGTCAAGATACCCCTTTTGTGATTCGCTGAGTCGTCTAGATTTTTTCGTTTGCTTTAACGCCCACCCTTTAACAATTTGACTGGTATTTACTACGCTTTCTCGAACAGAAGCTTCCGCACAGTGGCTTGTCACGTCTTTGCTTGTTCCTTCTGTTAGCTTGGCGTGGTACATTTGCCTCGCCTGGTCAAGAAGGGTGACTCTTTCTACACGCATTTCACACTTTCCAAAAGACAGATGCTTTTCAAGGGCTGAAAAACTCTGATAACTTTTAACACATCCTTCGTTAGGACATTGGAAAAGACCTGGATCAAATTCTGCCTCCTCTGGCCCTTCAGCAAAGTTTTGATTTTTAGAAGACTCAAGAGGTAACGCTGGACATCCTTCTTTACCAACATCCAAGAAGTCGCCGGCTGAAAATTTCTCTTGAAAATTACCACAGAAGCTGTTTGTAGCTGAAACCAAAAAAGAAAACATTGTGACAAATGGTTCACAGTCTTTATCTTACTTTGTCACGCTCTGATTATGTTGTTGTCCTAAGTGTCTTGTTGGATGATGTATCCACAAAAGTCTGCGCATACTGTGAAATTATAAAACAGCTATGTTGATGGTAAGAGTTAAAATATATCTGTCCTCGCGTTATTGTACGGAAAGTTTTTGCCACACAAGAGAATGCAACTGAGAACAAAAAAAGGTATTTTAATGTGTTCGCGTGTCGCTTTTTTCCTTACTTTAAGTCTGCATTTTTAATCTTTCCTTATAAAAAAAATATTTATAACAACCTGTTGGTAGCTGTTTGTCGATGATTTTTCCACAGCCGACGTTGTAGGATCGCCATACTCGCATTGACGCACCAGTATACTGTAGGTTGTTGATCAAGCTGATGCCATCCAATTTTATGGGGCTGTCCTTGATACCTAATGAATCGACAAGTGTCACTCTTACCCCAGGTACTCCTTCAGCTGATAGCATCGCGGTTTCAAGGTCCTTTGGAGTTTGGACATCGTGTCCCTCATTAACAAATCTACGAACATGAGCTTTGATGGTGGCTGCTTTGCGATCGCACGGGCCTTTGCCACCTTGAGGATCACTAAAGTCTACTCTAGAAACAGCGATTCCAGTGACATCACCCATAGAGCGGCATGCAGCAAGCATAGTAGCATTATGGTAACATCCCGCGTTATCCTGCCTAAAAAATGCTGTAGAAATTTCAGGATTCTCCGTTTTTAGTGTGCGCAGTATGTGTTCCATGATGCGGATAACTACCGAGCTGTCTTGGTTACAGTTTTTAACAATGTGGACGAAAGACTGATTCTGAAGTTTTCCATTAAGTCTTCTTGCCACCACGCTTATGTGCCATGAGATGCCTCTCTTGGCAAACCAGTCTGCCTGAGATTCGCGGTATTTTTGTGGCAAAAATTTCATGGCCCAGTCTTGGGTGATCATTACAGACGAATTGTCTAGTTGTTCAAGTGCGTCTACTCTGGCCATGTCCTGAATTTTGCTTCTCAGCTGATGAGCCTTCCAAGACAGAATGTTTTGGGCTGCTTCATCGGCCACATGGCGTAAGTCATCTAACTCTGCAGTTGGAAATCCCAGATCCTCTCTTTCTAAGTATTCTTGAATGGCAGACACTAAGGCTGTTAGTTCTTCACATTGGGGGCACGTCCTATCATGATCGTGATCGCAAGGGCTGCTGAACAAGGGTTCCTTGTCATCGCTTAGAGCGTATACGCTACAGTGGTCAGCCACGGGCGAAGAGGGAGATACGTGCACCTATGTAACAAAATTGTAATAAAAGCAATAAGCGATATAATTTTAAACGACAAAGGTAAAATAGTGCAAAAGTATGCTTCATGACAAAAAAGTCAAAACTGACACCAACGGTAAATTGTCATGTGGACTGAATACATCCAATTAGGTCTATTTTTTCTATCATACTGTGCTATCGCACCGAATTTTATAAGGAACATTACATCGAAATTGACATTTTTTTCGTTTTGTTCCATTATGAGACTAGCCTCGAATACCTTGTAATCTGACTTTATATATTGCTTTGCACTCTTTACACAACTTCTCCACAGCTCAGAAACATCTGTCTTCAATACCCCGTATTCCTCTAGTCGCTTCACTACATTGCATAGGTCGTCGCAAGCTTTGCCTCCTTCTGCGGCAATATAGTCGATTCCCTGCAACGACTTTCTTACGGTGGCGCTACAGGCTGCGAGGATAGCCAACATTGTTGTACGTCCAAATGGTTTGAACCCGAATTCGTCGCAGTATTTAGTGTACTGCTTAACAATACGTTCTGGAATCATACTTCGAATTACGTTTGGTGTCTCCAGTACTTCGCCAGTTGAAAGCTTTATGTACTTTTGCCCAAATGGAAGATCTTGTATGATGTGCGGACTTGTTATAAACGTCAAAAAATGATCAAGCTGGGTGGCCTCTACTCTCATTCGGGGACTATACCTTGATGGAAGTGGATTCCCTCGACCATAAACATGTTTGTGCAGTCGCGCAGTTTTCACTCGGTACTCAGTGATACCAGGTAGATACCTCTGAAGGCGTTCGATGGGGACTAGATCAGCCATTATGGACAAGACCTGTCTTTTAGTATCCCAGGCGGATGCATTTTTGTATGTTTCTGCCAAGGCTTCAAGATATTTGCGGTCGGCACTACCTTCATATCCAAGCTCTTTGTCGACAAGCATTGAAGACTGAAGTGCATCCCATAAATGAGCCGCATCACCAGGCGTGATAACATCTAAAGCCTCTACAATAACGTCTTTAGCCTTTTTCACGTGGTTGCTATGCGTGCGCGCACCTGCCTCAGCCCATCTCTTCCTTGGTCGAGTTAATTTTTGGACGTTACAAGTTTCAAGAAATCTGTTAAGGTGCTCTCTTCGTATATACTCGTTACTAGGCTCTCCCGTCACCGCGGTCGATGATTCCTCGTCACTGCTACTGACACTGTCCTCGTCAGGAACGAATAAACTTTCATCTTTCAATGACATTTCCATTATTCCTGTATATAACTCCGTGAATTCATCGTTCACCGTCCCCTGAAATTTTGAGAAAAGGGTTGGTTTACTACTTAAAAAAAAAAGAGACTCGCGGTAAAAACAAAAACAAAAACCAAAAAAAATAAAATAATGAATAATAATTCATCAATAATGAATTCCCAAGTAAAAGAATCTTTTCGATGAAACTTGGTACACTGCAGTAACCAGTCAGTAAAATAATATAAGATGATAAAAACGTAGAGGCCTTTTGGTGATAACAGCGAGCATCACAAATCTTGATAAACAAGCACGATTTTTACTGTGTTGCCTGGGATATTCAACCTCGTCCCCAGGGCTTTTCCCTCAAAAAATGGGTGGGGTCACCCATTTTTTTGAGGGAAAAGCCCTGGGGACGAGGTTGTGGAATATATCATTCATCAGGGGCTAGAAAAGATAAGTGAGCGAGGACTGGGCCGAGTTTACGTGTAAGGCATGCACGAAAAGGCGGAAAAAGCAATGGAAATTCTATTAACGTTCTTCTCGATCGACTTTATTTTAATGTTTCTGCATAAACTTTTTCTTTCTCTCTTTCAAGGTGGCCATTACCTGTTATATGCAGTAATCATGAGTGGATGCAATGTGAAAAAATCAGTCCGTGCTATAACCAGAACTGGATATACATGTATGGTTTCCTGAAATCTGAACGTTGTTTTTTAAATATTCTCCTGGTATTGATAAGTAACTATTTGCGTGTTCTAAGAATTTTACCACTTGAAAATGAAGGATAAATCTCGTCCTAACCTCATCCAGTTCAGTGGCTTCCGGACTGTTCATTATGGGTACAGCTGCCTCTGCTGCCGATTGTCCTTCAATGCTTTCATTGATTTCGTCGAGTCTTTTGCGACATTGTGTACAAATCGCTAGGAAAGAAAAATCACTTTTTAGCTTATCCAACTGAAGCCTCAAAAGAATATACGCAGAACTTTATTAGGGAAATATAGTCCGCGAAACTTACATCCTCAGCGGCTTTTTGCCACTAGGCCTAATGATAAGCCTTTTAATTATAAACAAACTATTTTTTAAATATCGAACTAAATATATAAAGCAACCTAACAAGTATTCTAAGTGAATAAATGGTCTAAACCTTAAAAAATTAGAGGCGTCAGGTTCAAAAGGGGAAAATGGACAGGGTGTGGCCGGCACTATTTCCACTTTCAACTAACTTACTTGAGCCAACAGGGATGACGATTTTGCAGGCCATGTAGAGGCGGTGAGACTGTATCAGTGTAATCCCTCGCTCGCCCTTCACATTGGCTTTTCTGTGAAAAGCCCATGAACTTGGAGAAGAACATAACTTTCGGTTGCTTCGCCATCTAAGACCAAATGCATCGCGGTGTCTTGGGCAAATAGAGAGATTAAAATATTGCTCTTCTTCCTCAAAAATACCTATGATTGGCACATTTTTGTTACATAAGTTGAATAAAATGACTGTTTCGTTCGAGCTACAGGTGAAACTCGAATAGAATTTGATTTACCTGCACGCGCCAACAGAAGCGTCGCCTCCGAACATAGTGTACCATCTGAAACGCCGCACGTCTTGAGGTGGCCTTTGATGTCCTTAGAGCATTCAGAAATTCTTACACACAAATCACCACTTGGAAGTACTAAGCTTGCTCCACAATCACCTCCGACATACTTAGAAAATTCACATGAAGCCATTTTGGCGAGTGGAGCGCTCCAGGCGACACAGTATATAAAAACTGAGTACTGAAAACTCCCTCAACTAATCAACCTCTTTCTTTCGTCTTATTTAAGTGTTCCTGCATATTAACGTAATCAAATAAAACTAACAAAATTCCAAGGCAGTACTTTTTTGCGTCTGGTTACAGGGGAAAATTGTGAGTCAGGCTACTGACACCTGTCAAATAATTGATTACCAGTCTGAACTGCTCTCGCTTCGCTAATTTGATAAATAAATACAAAACTATTTAATGCAGGCCAGTCAAAAGAGTTGCAAAAGTATTGCGGTCTAATAGCTTGGCTTTTACTTTATTAAAATTAAAATCATTGTATCCATCCATAACAGCATTTATATTCGGTCTTAACTTCAGAGTGGCCTGTGGCTTTCCTCCAGCGTACATGTACATGTAGGCGGCACGTGATATGAACGATAAAACGTCCAAACAGTGACATGATTCGGTTCCTTCTGAAAGACGTACGGCATTCCAGAAATCAATTCCCCTATAAAAGGCCACATAGACTCGCAGACTTAAAAGTTTCAGGTGAGTAATTGTCACCTGATAACGTTTATTTATGCAACTACTGATTTGCCGGCATGCTTGATTGAAATTCGATAACAGGCTGAAGCTAGCGCCAGAAAGCGAAGAAGACAAAAATTGTTTCTTGTGTCTTGTAATTTTTTGCTGCATCGAAGATTTTATAACTTACACCTTTTGTATTTTAGCACAGCTTCTCATCTACAGGTATTTCGGATGGATATTGCTAAAAAAAAACCAAAGATAACAAAAGGTTTGCCGCCTACCATAATTCGCAGTTGCTTGACTCGGGTCAGAGGTCAAATTTTAAGTGTAATATTTGCATTTTACTCTGCTTTGTCAAAGCTCGTGATTTCATTTACCCAAAAATTTTATTTCGCCAACTTGAAGAAAAAAGAATGCTCTTTCAGACTAAGCAAGCCTTGTTGGTTAAAGCGATGTACCAATACGCTTTTTGTGCTCTTGAAAATGTGCCAAATTTTGACCCGTTTGAAAAGCGATTTTGAGTCAACAACTTTAAAAATTTGTTAAAAAATCTATTATTGACTAAATCGCGATCTTCTTAGTTCTAGTTATAGAGGAAAAGAAATAAAGATATGACGTGCAGTTATATTTTAATGACAATCTTTATTTTTAAATATACGAGCCACTGAAACTGGCTCTAATTTTTGCATAATTTTAGCCCATTTTGGGCCTCGGGAAGAAAAAAATCGTTAAAAAAATACCGTCCAATCGATCGAACTTAAACCAACGATTTTGTAACTAGGGCTCACAGGGCTTCATTCTGGCTGAGTTTGAGGGGAGGTCATTTTTTGACTATTTCCACGTGTAGTTGATAGTTACGCGGAGTCGCTCTTAAACATCGCTTTTCAGGAAGGCAGAAAGTTCTTTCTGATAGAAGTCAGGAAGGCTTTACGCTTCTTCTCGGAGATGAGGTCAGGTTCGTAAGCGTCTGTGGAAGGGTACGAACCACAATAACTGTAATATTGCGGACGAATCCTCGTGTAAGGAAAATATCGCTTGTGTAACTCTCTCAAGTTAAAGGTGGCAGGCAGTTTCTCCAGTGGCATGTTGAAGAAATTCAACGAGTCTTTGAACACCAGATTTCCACATTCAAAGGACATTTTAGCCCCTTGATTTAAAATTTTCTCCAAACTACACCCCTGTTTATAGAGCGCATCCTGTATAAACGCACCATCAAACCCTCGCATATTGTAAGCCCCCACCACTACTTACGGTTCTTGCTCATTCACGACCATGTTTTTCTTCAAATCTTACAACATTTCTTCCATCGTGTCCGCCGCATAAAACGTATCGTCATCTTCATACATCCAACCTGATTTATGAACCTCAAATTCCTTCTTCTCATTTACACTACACTCCAAATCCACACAGCAGAGCAGAGGTTTCAGCGGAGGGCGACTGTTTTCTTCTTCCGTGTCTGAGGCTTCATAGTCTTCTTCCACAACACGGAGACCTGTTTGTTTTTTGTCCTCGGTCAAGGGCTGAATGAAACAATCGTGATTCACATCAGTGGCTTTTCCACAGACACGGCACTTGGCTTGGTAGCACTGGTGTTTTTTCTTGTCTTTGACCTCATACACCTTACAACACTCCAAACACTTTCTAAACCGCTCGCAGATGCTTTTTTGACCTCGCTGTTTTTGTCGGTGCGCCTCAAAACATTCAGGACCATAAAACTTCACATTACACTGTTCGCAGGACACTTCAGGAGTGACCCACTTGGCAAAATTAGGACATGTCTTGCTTCCACGACGGCAGGCAGAGCAGTTCTGTCCGATACAGTTATGGTTAGCACTGTTGTTGTTGCTGTAGGCCTTCTCGCAGTGTCGACAAAAATAATTTCGGTTGAGGAGCGCTGGAATACTAGTCACACCATGGTAGTGGTTCTCTGTTTTCAGGGGAGCAATCACCTTTGGAGCCTGATCAAACAGTCAGTCTTTAAACAGAATCTTTCCTTTCATCCCTTCCAAGACAATCAGCTGGTACTCTGGCCTAAGATACTCTTGCAACTGCTTCAATTCTTCCAGAACCACAAGGAGCTTCCGCTACACCAGCGTCTTGATGCAACTTTTTAGCTAAAAATTCTTGCAGACTACGACCTCTTTTTTAATGATCATACTGAACATCATTGTCGACTCTGTCTTTGATTGTTAGTATTGCTGGAGCACAACATAACTGGTCTTTGTTCTTAGTCTGAATGATGCACTGTCTTTGCTTTAACAGTGTCTCATACAACATCCGCCCCGGATTATGTTTCTTAACACAGCTAGTACCTCCTTGTCCAGAATGTTTGAAAAAATTCAATTCCACATAAAACTCACCCTCAGTCACATCAATATCTTCAGCAGAATTTAACTGCTTGGCTAGTTTCTCCATCCATTCGCTGGAACGCTGATTGTTTTGAACCCAATCGGTTAAAGGAATCACAGGGCTTCATGTCCACAGATGAGTACCGCTTCCATGGTGTACCGCCAAATGCAATGAATAATATTCCGGCACAAACCCTCGCTCATGCACCACATTCAAAAAACCTTGCCTTAACCCTTCAGCCATCGCTTCACCCAACAGCCCCTCTGCAGGCGCTCTCAGTTGCTCGAGTCTTAACCACCGTCTGTTGCTGCCATGATCGTGCACCACCAATCATATGAAAGTTTGCTCGAAAGAGCGGATAGTTTCCCTGTTGGTCAGCCCTACGGCTCGCTGCCAAACATACATCCTCTTCACCATCTGACATTAACCGATCGCCCTGACTAGCCGACCACTCAGTCATTTCGTCTGAAATAAAGAAGAAAGACATTTTTCAGTGGTTTTTGTCTATATTTTTGTTTTAAACTGGGGACTTTTTACTCAATGTTCCCGTTTCACCCAAATTATAAGTTTGTTATTGTTTTTTAAGAGGTCCGCAGATTATATTTTTTTTTCTTAGGTGCGGTAAAACACGGCATCCTAACTTTTTTGATTCTTCTAATTTTGATTCTTCTAATTTTATATTCAAAGGGTACAACACTATGTGCACATTTTTTCTTCTAACTTTCAGTTGACAGCTTGCGACACAGTAGGTCGCGAAGAAATCATTTCAGCTAATCTTAGTTGCAGTAAAACACGATCAGTTAAGTGGTTAAACTGCACACTTTTTACGCATAAGTTTATTATTGTTTTCTAAGAGGTCAGCAGATTATAATTTTCCTTCGTTGCAGTAAAACACGGCAAGTTAACTTTTTAAACGGCAGACTTTTTACGGATTGTCTTCCAATTTTATGTTCAAAGGGGGAACACTATGTGCACGGTACGATTCATTTCACACAATCTTAGTTGCAGGAAAACATGTCAAGTTACATTTCATAAGTGTGTAGACTTTTTACGCAACATTCCCATACATTTGTTTGTAAATGCAAGTAAAACCGCTTCATTGTAGTTTACTTACCGTTACTTCCAATAGTTTGTTCGAATAATGCTTCATCTAAAGAGTCATTCATCAATGCATTTCCATCACTTTGCGACCAAGGACTTTCTTCCATAGAGCCCGAAGACTCCATCACGGACAAACAAAGTTTAAGGTCAGCACGTGTACAGTATGACTAAATTTGGGTTGAGGTCAAGATCAGTTGAGGTCACCACGTCTAATAAACCAGTTGAAACCGGCTCACCTACGTGCTAAGGTGAAGGTTGTTCAAGGTCGCCTTAAGTTGTTTTTGCTGACTCAACAGAATTTGCATTCAGTCTCGGCTCTTTTTCCCACCCCTGTCTGAGTTCATTTGACAAGCTCTGCTCATAAAATTATTTCCCGGGACACAATAAATATAACACGCAACATTTCTTTATTAATAAACCTAGAACAGCCGCTAGGGACATATTAGATTTTCTAATAAAATCTGCCCTTTTCGTCTGCTTTTTCAAAAACCTAATTTACAAAGTAGGACTTCTGAGAATGGTTAGTCCATCTCGCCTAGCCATTTGTAAACTTCAAAAAATTCCGCATACACTTGTCTACAAAGTTCTCTCGCTTGCAGTCGATATCTTGGTGTGGCATGTAAAAAGTAAAAATAACCTGAATTGTGATAATTGTCAATAGAGAGTTCCGTGGAAGCTAATCTTAAACAATGCGAACACAAAAATTCATCGCTATAAGTATTGACCCACATTACAAAATTACAAAACGGTCTTTGCTCTAATTCAGCCAAACACGATCTGAAACACAAACAAACAAAAATGTAATCATCGGCTATCCAAAATTTCTGATCATTATAGCGGGTAAACGCATTTCTATGACCACGCCAAAAATATAATAAGTCTTAAATCCAATGTATCTCAAATCCTAGAACTTTTCCAATTTCTTTGATCACACCAAGACACCGTCTACAATAAAAAATCATAGAATTCATCATCACGAAACAGAAACGGCATTTCTACTCTTAAATG